GGTAAATTACCGGCAATTGTAATGTATGTGTATGTATGTGTTGTATGTATGTGTTAACAGGGCCTTTTTAAAAATACCGGTAAATTCGTTCTGGCTATTTTCCGGAAAGAGAAGTTGTAACATTACCGGTAATTTGCCGTAATGCTGCGCTGTGTAAACGCAGAAGGAAGATTGCCGGAAAGAGCGCGTGCACGTCTAGAACGTGCTGACGTGGACGACTGCCTTAGCCAATCAGAACAGTCAGACGCATTCACGTCCGCGCGGTTTATGAGAATAAAAGCATTTTAATATTTTTCCAGACGCATTTAGCTGCTAGAAATTTGTTAGATACTGTTTATATGTTCATCCTAATGCTAACAGAGTAAATAATTATCAATAAGATGCTTATGATAAGCCGTTGTTTGTTAAATGTACCTTAAAGCTTTGCGTGTGCCCGTGAAACAGCCCGTGAGCGCCAGCACACACACATATCATGTACATCTTGACATGCGGAAGTGTTTCTCTATATGTTTTCATCGAAGGTCATTTCTGGTTAATGATGTCAGAATTACCGGTATTTTGAAATGGATGTGTAAATGCTCTTTTCCGGAAAAATTCCATAACGTCCTCGCCTGTGTGAACAGCTCTTTTTTTAATTTACTGCTAAAGTCATTCCGGAAATTTTCCATATATTTTCCGGTATCACTGTGTGAAAGAGGCTACCCGAAGTGTGTTTGCTTGTGTCCAGTCTACTCCTTTGCCTTGTTTTGGTGGCTGTCATTGCAGAAAACCCCACTTCACACAGATAGGTTGTTGGAAATGGCAACAGGGTTTTCAGTGCTGTGTTAGTGATCTCTGGGTATTCTGCCATGACTTTAATCCAGAACACCGGCAGAGTTGTTTTCTCGAACATTGTTTTAAGGCCGCCGTCAATTGCGATCTCCAGCAGTCTTCTTCTTGCACGGACATGCTGGATTCAGCTGGTTTGTTGACAAATGGGTCACGTATCCATTCCTTTGCCGTTTGTGGGTCCTTTGAGGTTGGAAAGTAGCGCTCAAACTCCTTTAAAAGCGTAGACTGGTGATTGTGCATCAGCTTGGTGAGTGAGGGCGCAGGCCTTTTTCTCACACAAAAATCCCTGCTAATGTTTGAAACATGTCCAATATGCCTCTGTTCATGCACCGTCCGCACAAATCCAGTTTGGCTTTAAATGCAGCTACTTTATCTGCCAACTTAAAGATAATTAATTCTTGTGCGGCCCGCTACTGATTAATCCACGGACCGGTACCGGTCTGCAGCCGGGGGGTTGGGGACCACTGGTCTACAGAACAAACCACTGTTTTAATGTGACTTGCCTTATTACCTTAACTTGTCTAGTTAACCTAGTTAAGGCTTTAATATGCAAATAAAATATGTAAATAAAATATGTAAAAAATATGTAAAATATGTAAATAAGTGATTTACTTGAAGCCCAACAGCACATTCAGCATGCAAGCCTTGATTGAGCTGACAAATGTCATTTGATTTCAGGACTCTGTCCCATGTTTAGGTCCAAATTAAATTTTTAAGTGCAAAATATTGTAGCGGTTCTTTTTTCCTTGTGTTTTTCTCTCTTTTCATGTGTCACACTAATGATCAATCTACAGGTTTTCCAGTGCAATAACTCAGTCTTAAGTATGAAGTGTGAGTTTTTCAGTTAAAAAGTAAATCATATTTAAATGGCAAGAGTTCCTGTGGGGACGAAAGTAACACAGTTGCTAATGTCCCAGTGCTTATAGCCATACCTTAGTTTTCACTTCTATATTATAGTTTGCAGTATTTGGATTTAGATGTAATTAAATTAACACATATTGGCAATAAAAATAAAAATATATACAAAAAATTTGTAAAAGATGTTAACATTTTGCATTGGTGGATTGCTTTTAAAACATTTTCTGGAACTGAAATTAAAATGAAAATGCTGTTAAAATTTTTCAGCAAAAATAAAGGACATAATATGTTTGCAATGAATGTTAAAAAGGTCATAGTCAGATTTATTTAAAATAAACTAGCTTAAGTCAGTAAATCTAGCAAGTATTGTTGTGTTGCTTTTGTTTAAAGTGTTAAAGTTATATGCCAAAAACATTATCTTTTAAAATTTGATTTTTATGAAAAATGTTACTTGCGTCCCCGCTCTCCCCTTCTGTCATCATGGCAAAGATAGAAAAAAATCAGTTATTAAAACTATTATGTTTAGAAATGCCTTGAAAAAATAATTTTTCCGATAAATGGAAATTGGGATAATAATTTAGAAGGGCCAATAATTCAGGAGGGCTAATAATTCTGACTTCAACTGTGTTGTACTTCAGTAAATACTTAAACGTAAATTCATGTATTGTTTACATGGTTATCTATCACATGGATAAGAATTGTGTTAAAATAAAAATACTTTTATTATTAAAACAATCAATATAAATTCTTAATGTTATATCTATAACTCTTACATTTCTAAACTGTAAAATGAGTAAAAAATGTCTGCTGCGCTGTTTAATAAATAAATATGGGATTACATCAAAGTTACACCAAGAAATATTTGACAAACCAGATTGACCAGACTGACAGCCAATCAGCAGTAAAGGGGCGTGTCTTGTAACTATAGACACCAAAAAGGGCTGTTGACTTATTGGAGTATGGGCATGTTTGTTTTGATCATTTCAATATTGATAAATCAATATTGTTTATCATACATTCATTAATTTTCCTTCGGCTTAGTCTCTATTTCAGAGGTCATCACAGTGGAATGAACCGCCAAGTGTTCCAGCATATGTTTAACTCAGCAGATGCGCTTCCAGCCACAAGCCAGTACTGGGATCAACCCATACACACTGATTCACTACGGCCAATTTAGTTTTCATTCAATTCACCTATAGCACATGTCTTTGGACTGTGGAGGAAACTGGAGCAAACCCACGAGGAGAACATATTAACTCCAACTGGCCCAGCCGGGACTCAAACCAAAGACCTTCTTGCTGTGAGGTGACTGCCAACCACTGAGCCATCGTGCTGTTCCTAAATGATTGATCAATACTGATAAAAAACAGTATTGTTAGGAAAAAATTGGTGCATCTTTAAATGTGTTTTATTCAACCCAAGCTCATTCTGAAAACGTAGTCCCGTGGATTTTTCTGGAGACAGCGGAATACGTCCCGGGAGGTACGTACGGCTGCATTAATTTTTTTCAAGCGAACGCTGCGGGGCGGTGTGACGCTGTTACCTTTCGCGCTTGCCGGCTGACCGCTTACCTCCTTGTGGAGGGCTTTCCCGCTGCAACCCGTTTGTCCACTCAGCTCACCGTGTAACGTCGGCAGGCTTGAGATGCAGAGAAGAGGAGTTGACCACGGCGATCGGTTTCGAGTCCGGGGAAGAGCAGTTCCAGCAATCAGGTAAGACAAAAACAGAATCCCAAAAATTAAGTGAACGAGTTTTATAACAGGGTGAGAACGCGGTGAAATCCGAAAACGCGTTAGAAAAAAAAAAAAAATCAGGGCTTTTCTTTTTTTTGGACGGCTTTTGTAAACTGTTGCTCGGGTTTAGGGGAAGCAAGCGGGCGGGCGGGTCAATCGGTAAAATTGATTGGGTTCAGGGAAAGAGGAGGGCGGTCAGCCGATTGGCCGGTCGTGCAGTCAATCATCCGGTCAGTCGGACAGCGGCCTCTGGCGGGTTGACGCGAGAACAGCGCGGGCGCGAACCGCACTCGTGAGAGACGTTCAAGATGAGAAAAATCACACAACAGCGGCCTCTCGCGGATTCGCAAAAACAAAAACTGCAGCCGTACGTACCTGCCGGGACGTATTCCGCGGTCTCCAGAAACGTCCACGGTACTACGTTTCCACAATGAGCCCGGGTTGGTTTTATTTTATTTTTACTGTGTCTTTTATTTAATTTTATATTAATACCCCATTCGGCTTGATCTCACAAGATTATTTGAGCTATTTTACATATTGGCTAAAAAATTACTAATTTGTACAGATTTATGCAATCGAATTCATATGAGTGATAAAGGCACTTTCCCTCCTTGCAGGTAAAACAGGAAGAGAACAACAAGGAAACAGGATGGAGAACGGAAGAAGTATTGGAGTCCAGGAAAGTAGAATCACAGGTAAGGGTGATTATGTTTTTTGTTTTAGAAATTTCAAATACAATGATGAGTTATTGTTGAATACATATGTTGAGGTTATTGTTATTAGAAAATAAATTATTAGATTTTCTCGATTGGCGACAGAACAAAACACTGTTGTCCAATGACTTGCCTAATTAACCCAAATTGCCTTTTGTTAACATAATAACCTAGTTAAGAGCCTAAATCGCACTAAGCTGAAAACTAGTATCTTGCGAAATAACTAGCAACTGTTATTGAGTTAGGGCGAGGCAGTGGCGCAGTAGGTAGTGCTGTCGCCTCACAGCAAGAAGGTCACTGGGTCGCTGGTTCGAACCTCGGCTCAGTTGGCGTTTCTGTGTGGAGTTCTCTTTGCCTTCGTGTGGGTTTCCTCCGGGTGCTCCGGTTTCCCCCACAGTCCAAAGACATGCGGTACAGGTGAATTGGGTAGGCTAAATTGTCTGTAGTGTATGAGTGTGTGTGTGTGTGGATGTTTCCCAGAGATGGGTTGCGGATGGAAGGGCATCCGCTGCGTAAAAACTTGCTGGATAAGTTGGCGGTTCATTCCGCTGTGGCGACCCCGGATTAATAAAGGGACTAAGCCGACAAGAAAATGAATGAATGAATGTTATTGAGTTATTAGAAATGAGTTATTAAACGATTATGTTTAAAAATGGGTTTTACGTATAATTTTGACTTAAGCAATATATTGTATATAATATTTTCAAAGAATTTTAAATGTCAAGGAATTTCTCGATTCCTTATGAATCAAAAGGGAAGATGTTGATCCAATTCAATTTTATTTTTCTTAAAAATTGTAATAGTTATGGGGCTCCAAATGAACTTGGAGTATGAAAACATATGAGTAAGAAGATCCTTCAAAACATTTGATGTCACTTCTGTATTTATTTGTGCACAGTTGGTGGATGTATACATAGTATACAATGGATTCCAATAAAGAAAAAAAACATAAGTGCCTTTTGCTGTCAAAAGATGAGAAGAAAACAAAACAAGGAAGCACCTTTCAAATGAATGAAATGTTCTCGGCTACACCATCTGGATTAAAGGGGTTGATCGCACAAGTTACAATGTGCCTTCATAAATCCAGCAGAGAGTACATGAAATACACTTACAATAAAACTCTGTAGACTTTTCTTTCAAGAAACATGGGGATTTTACAGGCCATAGCAGCTACATGTGTCCAGTGAATACAGGCCCAAAAAAGACACTTGCTTATTCTGTTTAATATATTTGTTATATAAATATCTAATTCTGATGGGTTTTAGCTAATTGAGGGAGATTGTATAAGATGTTTAAGTTATGGGATTATATTATAAAATGGCTATAACAAATAATCAGAAAGTGTCATACTTCACGTTTTTTTATGGGACTTGGATTTAGTTTTAGGGCAGTCTTATGTGGAATATTTGCAGTACCACGGCTGTATCAGTGTCTTTTAGCACAGATTATTTTACAAAATAATTTTATGGTATACTCGTATAAAGAGCTGAGTAGCTAAAATATATTGGTTTAAATTACACTAACTGACTTGTATATACTATTTTAATTGTTTTATCTCTGTGTACAGTACTTTTTGTTAAACATTAACGTTTATTTTTATAGTAATGTAAATATGAGTTCAGGATATGTCTTCTTCAGCCCATCTAAAAGGGCAAATGACTGATTACTTTAATTAAATGCTTTCTTCTGGCACAATTATTTTTGTCTATTCATAAATTCTCCTCTCAAACCTTTGACGGTTAGAACAGTTTAATCTATCGATTACCTCATCTTAATTTCCAAATACAAATGATGAATAGTGCATGGACCAAGTCGCCCTGTTTTTGCATACAATATGCTTCACATTTAGGTCAAATATTCACATATATTTAACGAATACAAATGCAAACATTAAGTCTGACATCTTCACTTTATCCACAGACCACATACAGAGTGAAAGTCTGCTTTTGTAAGTTTAATGCTGTAACAATTACATTGTTCTGTGTTTGGTTGCGTTAAAACACCCTGTCCTTTTCGAGGTAGGTGATGTCTATTTTACAATGGTAAAATGTTTATGCTCATGGTAAAAGACCTGTCTTTATTTCATGATGATTTTCCCATTATAAAAGCGAGGCACCACAGCATGCACATGTAAAAAGATCCCTATTTTTGATTTGGCTCCATGATATGCAACCCAGGCTCAATGGAAGTACATGACTTAACCAACAGTTTTGGAAAAAAACGACTTGTGCCTACATTTGACTACAGGTTCCAGGTGACCACTAGAAGCTGTTAAACACTATCAACATTTGTTTCAGAGTGTTTTGTGTTCACTTTATAATTTTGTGATGGTTAATTTGCTGAATTTGTGTAAATTTCATTCAACTTGCTCATGCCCCAGTGATTTTTTTTCCTAAATTGTATATTCTCCAGGACAATTTTATAATATTTTATTGCGTTTCTCCAGAAACGTATTTAGGGCTACATTTTTAGAATGAGCCTATGCTGGCTAAGTTTAATCTCAAATAACTCCATAAATAATGTTGTATAACTCTTTAAAACTGCCCCTTTTAGGCTTTGATCCTCTTTTCAAAAGAGAGTAGAGCTACAAATGTTAGCAAGCATAAGGGCAAATTTAAAAACAAGACTAACGTCCCATGCTAATAAGCGAGAGACTGTCACTAATGGGCTTTCCTTCTCAGATGACACATAGAAAGGGAGAATCAAAGTGTTTCTGCAGACTGTTTGATCATAAAAAATGTAATTCATAAATGTTTACCATTAAAAGCTGGCTATATTCACAGACTGTTGTCACGCAACTGTTTAAACCCCTAATAAAAGTGAATTTTGCATAATAGCAACTTAAGAAATTTAACTAGATTTGAGAAAATAAAATAACATTTTTGATTTTCACTGAACTGTGCTGTTTAATAAACTTCAAAATAGGGTATCATTTATTCAGCTTATAGCGCCTGTTGTGGGCATGTCATCTGTAAAGTGTAGCAAATGTACCTTTAGCAAATTATTTCAGGATTTGCAGAAATGTAGTCGTGTAGTTCCACAGAGTCTGGGCTAAGAAAATGGGTCCTAAAACACACCTGAACAGTCACTAGCAGGACCGAACAGTGCAAAAGTCAAGTTCCTGTGGCTTTTTCTTGCCTGAGCAATGGTCTCTAGGTAAAAACTGTCCTGTCTGAGTCATGCACCGCAGTGGGCGTCTCTTAAAGCCTTTCCCGCAGGTTTTAGAGCATGAGGACCATTCGCCGATGCTCCATGTTGGGCATGGATCACCACACACCTTCATGGAACTGGGCTTCTGGGATCCATCACAATTTGTGGCCATTTTCCCATCTGACCCCAAACACTGTATGAGTCTACTTTGGACTCCATTCCCACAGCTAACCGAGCACTTACTCCAGTCCGCCGTGACCCACTTATAAGATGGTGTCTGATAGACTGGCTTCTTCAGTTCTACTTTATTGCTGTCTTCCAGCACGCTGTTCTCCGCAGGGATCCTCTCCTCTTTCTTGAAGATCTTGCTCTCCTTATTCCCCACAGTCTGGTAGTAGGAGTATCGCACACGAGGAGGTGTCATTTTACCCACAGACAGCAGCTCCACCGTCAGGGACTCTTTAAGAGGTCTTGAGGTCTGCAGTGTCTCCACTGACGTGCCGGTTCCACTGTAGCGCAGCAGACTCCCCTTCACAATGATGTCTTTTTCTACTGCCGAAACCACAAAGTTTCCGTTCAGGAGATATTTGCCGTGATGGTTCTTTACTGCTAGATAGTTGTCATCGTTCACCAAACCACGGTAACCACGCTGCCTTACATCCACATTTGCAGCTCCAATAGGTAGATCGATGACAAAGTTATATCCATGTCTAAAAGAAGAAGATAACAGGGTTGGATAGTATTCAGAATTACTCAAGTTTTTGGCTACACTTTACTTGCATGTTTTAGAGGCACCAACTGCAAATCCATCCATCCAACCATCCATCCATCCATCCATCCATCCATCCATCCATCCAACCATCTATCCATCCATCCATCAATCAATAAATCAGCCAATCAATCAATCAATCAATCAATCAATCAAATCAACCTGTCATTTTCACCAGTTTTCTCTAAAATCAGTACAGCGACTATAGACTCATTGAAGTGTTGCCATGTCCACTTACTGTACACTTATTTAGTGTTTTGGGCTTCAGTGATCCAGCTTATGGAGTTAATAATGTAGACAGGTGTGATATTTGGTCAGATAAAGCATTTAGGTTAAAAATGATTATGGATGTGTACTTATTTGCTGTAGTTAAAATTTGAAGTGGATTAAAAGTTTAACTTTAATCAAAGTTGTACCTTTTGATCCCCTTTAAATGACTACTGTATATCTTAGGGATCTTTATCTTTCCACTTGGACTTGAAAAACCAAGGTCCGACCCGAGACCTGACTTTGTTTGGTTTCTAAATTTTGACATGTGCCTCAGATTCAGAGTCAGGTTCAGTATAAACTGCCTTGGACCTAGGGTAATTTTAAAAAGTGCTCTTTAGATATCCAAGATATCTACTCACATCATTATAGTGCACATTCATGCAGGAAAGTGCTTTTCGTTTAGTGAACAAAGTGAACCCATGAGTTAGACTTTACATTTTTTTTGTATTAATTAAAAACATAATAATTTATGCAAGTCAGATTTGCTTATAAAGTGATTTGAGTCAATTTGGGTTAAACTTTAGGGTTGTTTATGGTTAGCCACTTGTAATTATAAATTATATGTTCTTAAAAAAAAAAAAAAAAAAAAAAACAACACATACTCAGAGATGAAGCACCTACATGGGTTTTGTGAACATTCCAGAGACTTTCTTGCAGTTTTTGTTTTCACCTCCACACACACCACACTTGTCAAACTTCATGTTGGAGTTCAGTTTTCCATCACAGCCAGCCTTGATGCACTTTCCCTGAACACAGACAGCTGAGGTATCAGGAGAACAAGGAGTCCCATCCACCACCTGTCACACAGATAACACTCAATGCACTTCACCAGCAGACACTTTTCAAGTACACAAAATTAAATGTGCTGAGTTTTACAAGAGAAATTCCAAGTATGGCCTTAGTGTTGGTAAAGTCATGCACTACAAATTGATAAACTATGGGAATAACTATGGGAAAATAGCTTTTTCTTGTCAATGTCCCAAACTAATATGGGTGCTTTCACAGCTAGATTTTTGTTCCGGCGCGTTTCCCTAGTTATTCGTTCGGCAAATGTGAAAGTAGCAATTACGCTCAGAACTGTGCCGAATCAATCGGTCTGATATCACCTGAATGAGATGGTCTAGGCTTGATTGAAACAAACTTTGCAGCGGATCGATTGTAGTGAGAAAGCAAAACGATCCAACTAACTAACAAACCAGGATACTGTATATCCCAGTGCATTGTGGATATGTAATAGGCATATGGCTATATGAAGAGAGAATTATGTCTAGGGTTGGATGTCTACCGGTAAATGTGCATGTCATGTAAAATAAGAAAGTGAGAAGTAGGTGTGGAACTTAGGGTATTTATAGTGGCTTAGGATCGTCTGATTGGTGAATCATAAATTGAATAATGCGGGGCCGGCTGCAAGCAATCATAAGCATGTAATCATCTTGAAATTAGTTTATAAATAAACTTCACTAAGGACGCATGACAGCTGAGCGGGACTCTGCAAAATAAACCGTAAAACTCTGACCAATGTGACGAGAGTTTACTCGCACATTATTTATTTTAGCTATTTTGGTCTGTTTTGAACTTTTGCTGTGTGAAAGCGAACCACACCAAGAATAAAGAGCAACATTGTAACAATTTTAATCGCACTTTCAGAACAAAATAATCGATCTACATGTTTGAATCAGTAGGCCAATTCAGCCAAGCACAATGAAAACTTTACAAAAATAACACAATTGTTATAATCTCTGTTGATTAATTATTTTGTTAGATTAAATGATTAATATAGATTTAATACAGCCAATATGAACAGTGAAAAGTTTACAAAAAACAGAATTTATAGCTGTAACAAAAATAGGCTATAGATTGTTTCTAATAGTAAATGTCTGCTTTGTCCAGTTTTGCATATATTCATTTTATTGACTCCTTATCTATCTATTTTGTCAAAGCTCCATGTCTAAATAAATCTTCAGCAGACATTACACCAGACTCACCTCCTGTCTAATAATCTCAAAAATCTTTGTTTTGTTACTTTTGATGATAATATTTACAATTCTGTCCACTTTCTCAACAATTAATGCTGTTTCAATGTGTTACGGCATGACAGATTAAACAGCAAGTCAACATGATCATTACTTTCTCTTTGCTAGTCAAAGAACAAAATAATATATGTACAATATGTCTTATAAACATTTAAATCAACCAACATTTCAAACACATTAGTAAAACAGCCTTGTTTGTTTAATTTTTTTAAGTAATCTCTCTGGTTACTGTTGAATCACTGGTAGCTGTAGAAATAAATGAGCCCATAATCAAATCTGAGGTTAATCAAAGCAAGACAGAGAGAAGAAACCAAGACAACCTGAAACAGTTTCAAAACAAATGTCAACATACAGTAAGGTAACATAGTTATCAATAGTTGTGTAATTGACTAAATCTGATACAGCTGTAGAGCTTATTGATGATTCTACAAGTCTTTCCAACATAGACTCAAGCCGTGGTCACACTAGAGTTTGGTCATGCGAAATTCTGTCATGCAGCACTGCGTAAAGGTGTCGGATTAAACAAGTTGATTATGCATTAAAAAAAAGCGAACAGTTGCTCTATATTTTACATTTCTGTAGAAGAGGGCATGTTTTGGTTTTCTATTGGTCTCACACAATCAGATTTTGCAGGTCAGAGTTCACCAAGCTTGAATTTTCTAGTGCAACAACATGCGAAATGTATTGCACATACTTGCGTTCCCGGTCTGCCACGTTTGCATGTGTATAAATTTAAGCCTATGGGACAAGAAGTGCAGTGGGACTGCTGCTTTAAAGAAAATGCGTGCTTTAGGCAAAAAGTTTGTGAAATCACAAAAATGCACTTAAACATAAATTTGTCTGCAGTTTCTAGATAAAAGGGTTTAGGTCAGAGGTTCGCTAGGTGATCTGTATGAAAACCACAAGGACATGTACAAGTGCGTCTATCTGAAACGTGTAAAAGTAACGTATTTCAAACTCGCAAACATTTACATTGCACCCTCTAATGGAATGGATTGAAATGTACCTGGAGCAATGTATTTTACAATTCGTAAAAATGTAAGTCGTAGCCCATATTTCCAGTGAGCCTGGGCTTTAACTGTGATTTAAGTTCTCGCCATTACTTTTTAAAAGTATTTGCTTTGGAAATACCATGTTATTTCTTTCATGACATAAGAGCTAAGGAACTTCTCCTGCATATGTCAAACAACTTTTCCATATTCAAGAAGATAAATCAGTTTATTTACCTTTGGCGCAAGGACGTAGAAGTATCCGGTGCCGTTGGCTCTGCAGATGAGCTTACATCTGTCTTTAACAGAGACTCCCGAGTACTTTGGGACCCAAACCACAGATGGACTCAGTCTGTTAGTGTTCAGTGTAAAGCCATTAAACATCTCACACTGCTCCTCCCGAAACGTTTTTCCTGTTACAATCAGTCGATCATCATCAGACATGAATTATGTTTAAAATACTATTTTTTGGAACAATTTATTTTGATGGCCCGTTTGAGTAATAGTAAACTGTCTGCTTAATATCTGTTGACACTGCTCTTCAACAGACATTTAATAGACTATAAGAAACTTTGCAAGTACATGTCATCTCACACTAACCTAACCCTTACCCCAACCTAACAGTCTACTTATAATCTGATGAGAATTAGTTGGCATATAGATACAATGTAACTTAAATTCAACAAACGGACCATCAAAATAAAGTGTGACCTTTTTTTAATAGAATGACAGATTTGTTGTTTACCTGAGTCTTTACAAGGCTCTAAGTTGCAGGAGCGATGCTTCACTCTCAGGCCTTGGCAATACTTGCCCCCATTTTCAGGCACAGGATTGTTACAGTCACGTTTGGCAAGCTGCACTCCTCCTCCACATGAACGGGAACATGGGCCATACAGACCCCATCGACCCCAACGACCATCTACCTGTGGAGAAAGTCAACACGCTTCAGAATAATGACACCTTGACACCTTGATGAAAATGATAAAAAAACAAAACAACTCTGCTGTTTATAACACATTTTTAACTATGCATTTGTCGTCTTTTAAAAACATATAAAAAAATGAAACTGACCTAAAATTTTTGGACTTATTACACATCTAGACATGACTACCATTTGTCTAGAAGTACGAATCGAGAGCATTTGTCAACCAAGGCTCATTCGGATTATATTCTCCTATATACATTTCTGGAGAGAGCCAAATATGTGTCAGAAGCTACGCTGAATCTGCCAGAGGCCGCATGTTTTTCAGATCTCCAGTTTCTCTTGTGAGTGCCATTCGCGCCTGCTGTTCTCATGTAAATCCAGGCCTGTTTGACTGACTGACCAACTGTTCAATCCCCCACCCTCCCCTTCCCTAAACCCACCAAATAGTACTTTTAAAAACGTGTTTTAAAACCACAGATTGACCCAATTACCCTCTTTCCTAAACCCAACCGCAGTGTTTTCAAAAGCAATCCAGAAAAAGAAAAGCCCTCACGGCAGCCTGGTTTTTGCCACATTTGAGATTTTATCACATTCTCACCCTGTTATTTACTTGTTTATTTTATTTTTGGGCTTTTTTTTGTCTTACCTGCTTTCTGGAACCAATCTTCAACGGACTCGAACCTCGTTGTCACGGTCAGCTCTACCCTGCATCTCAAATCTGCAGACAAACGTGTCGAGCTACCGGACAAACTGGAAACATCGAAAAAGCCATCTATATAGAGGTAAGCGGTCAGCTGGTAAGCGAGAAAAGGAATGGTGTTATGCTGCCCCGTATAGCGTTTGTTTTAAATATGAACTTAGATTCAGGCTACATAATTTGTGATCTCCAGAAATGTATATAGTACTACGTTTTCAGAATGAGCCTATGTTGTCATAGTCCATGATATTTTTTTTAAAAAATTCTCCATTTATACAAATGAATCAGTATTCCAGTTTCCAAGAAGCTGTATGAGTTTGAGGACCATCTTTCTATATTGTGACAACTGAGGGACTCTTTAAGTTTACAAATCCTCTTTTGGAGGCACATTAAACTGCATTTCATATCCATTAGGATCCATCAAATATCCAGAGATATGAGCTTTTGCACAGTATGGTAATGTAGGAAGGTTTCTGGGAATTATGTCAATATTTCATGTAGTTCATGAAGGGCAGTACTGCATACAAAACAATATCTTTGAACAAAAACCAAAGCTGTTACCAACAATCACTGTGTTCAAATGTTTACAATTTTGGAGCATCGGTGAATCCTTAAAGCTTTTGGTCTTGTAGGCAACTTCAAACACCTTAAGAATTAAGTATTAAGGGTATGTAAAATTATTTTGACTTGTGGTCATGATGTTTGCAATTTATGCTTGTTTTAAAATTGCAGTACTAAATTAGAACAAAGTTGATTTTTACAATCGCATCTTCTTATTTAAATGACATTATTTGAATTGCCAGAGTGATTTCAGATGAAGATATTTCATGATCCTGATGATTTTTTTTCTAACAAAAGATCCGGGCCAGGTTTGCAGTCATATCATGCTCACCTTGTTTTTGAAGGTATTTTGCTTTTCAGTGCAAGTCCCCCTGTAGCACAACTTGTTGGTTCCACAGGCAGTGCCATCAGCCCAGGGAAAGTGGCGCGTCTGGCAAACTAGTTGACCTTTAGCCTTCCCAGTACACCACAGTTTGGAGCAGGCCTGCATGTAGGGACAGGGCTTGGATCCGGAGCCAAATGCCAGCTCACACTGACGGCCGAGAGAGTAGCTGATGCCTGGTGGGTCTTCTGGAAGAGCCATGAGCTTCTGGGGCTGATCCAGAAGACAGTCGCCTAGAAAGCAATACGTACATGTTTGATTCATGTAGCTGAAAATATCCTTGGTGTATTTGTTTGATATTCCAGTGATAAACGTGTCAGAGTGTATTGCAGGACTGCAGTCAAACTCACCATGGCCAGAGTCCAGGAAGTCAGTGATGATAGCAGCGCTGCACACAGACCAGGGCGTGTGGTGGTCAATCTGGATCAGTGTTGGAGACATCATATGATTGTCCTTCAGCTTTCCAAACACATCCTCACAGGCCTTCACATTGTCATGTGGCATGCTGAAGACATGACCTGGAAGAGAGCCACAGATACGGTCAAACTATTTCAGTCTTTCTGTTCTCTCTTTTTCTTTATCTATCTATCTATCTATCTATCTATCTATCTATCTATCTATCTATCTATCTATCTATCTATCTATCTATCTATCTATCTATCTATCTATCTATCTATCTATCTATCTATCATCTATCTATCTATCTATCTATCTATCTATCTATCTATCTATCTATCTATCTATCTCTCTATCTATCTATCTATCTATCTATCTATCTATCTATCTATCTATCTATCTATCTATCTATCTATCTATCTATCCATCCATCCATCCATCCATCCATCCATCCATTCAACCATCCATCCATCCATCCACCCACCATCCATCCATCCATCCATCCATCCATCCATCCATCCATCCATCCATCCATCCATCCATTAACTGAATCAACCAATCAACCAACCAACCAACCAACCCATCCATCCATCCATCCATCCATCCATCCATCCATCCATCCATCCATCCATCCATCCATCCATCCATCCATCCATCCATCCATCCATCCATCCATCCTGCCATCCTGCCATCAGTTCATCCATCCATCCATCCATCCATCCATCCATCCATCCATCCATCCATCCTGCCATCCTGCCATCAGTTCATCCATCCATCCATCCATCCATCCATCCATCCATCCATCCATCCATCCATCCATCCAATTAGTTATGGGATTTTACATACAATTTGGTCATTGTCATTTAGATTGTCAAACATGTTACAAATCTGAAAGCATTTATGCTAACATTTTCATGTCATATCAGTTGTGTAAATATGTTAAATAACATAAATTATTTGTATTTTTCCCTAAAAACTATCATTTCGTTTAAGAACACATTTATTCATGAACTCATATGGGTTATAAGGTCATTTTGGCACAGTCACTTTGGCACATTTGTCAAACAACAGCGCATACAAATAGCAAAAAAAAAAAAAAAACATAGATTACCTGCAAAAGCCAGTCTCTTGCTTAAAATCCTTAGTTTATCTCTTAAAACTACATTTCTGTGTCAATGAATGTGTCAGTGCCATCAGAATTAAAAGTCCCTGTGTCATTGTTTATGGATAAGACAGTAAAATTACTTGGTCATGTTGTCAATACAACAGTATACTCTGGAGGGCGGTTCTGATGTAAACTATGTCTTTTTTTGTTTGCTGTTTGTACCGTAATTTGTTGGCAGATCATGTCATTGTGATACAGAAAGTAGAAAATGTGAGCAAAGGAATTTACTTTTAGATGCACCTTCTTTAGAAAAAGTCAAGAATCACTTGACAGAAATGTATCAATGTATACCAGTTTAGAACAAAAAGTCTAATGAAAATGTATAGAATAATGCATTATGAAACGATATTAAGACAACTTTTTTAGCCATTTTGCATGATAAGACTTATGCCTTGAACAAACGATTAAATGTTGTGGTGCGGACTACTAAACACCATCATGGTTACACACACGACACTAAAGTAATGGGCTAAACATTTATTAACATCAGAGGTAAGATCAAATTCATATTATTCATAAGTGTCATACAAGGAATTATGAGAAAGTGAATTCATGGTTATGTACCATATACAGTTAGGTCCATAAATATTGGGACACAATTCTAACAATTCTTTTGGCTTTGTACTCCAACACAATGGATATGAAATTAAACGAACAAGATGTGCTTTAACTGCAGTCTGTCAGCCTTAATTTGAGGGTTTTTAAATCCAAATCAGGTAAATGGTGTAAGAATCACAACAGTGTGCATATGTGCTTCTCACTTGTTAAGGGTCCAAAAGTAATTGGACAATTGGCTTCTAAACGGTTTCATGGCCAGGTGTGTGTTTTTCCCTCATTATCCCAATTACAATGATCAGACAAAAGTTCCTGAGTTTATTTCAAGTGTGCTATTTGGATTTGTAATCTGGTACTGTCAACCCCCAAGATGAGATCCAAAAAGCTGTCTCTATCAGTGAAACAAGCTATCATTAGTCTGAAAAAGTAAAACAAACCCATCAGAGAGATAGCAAAAACATTAGGCGTGGCCAAAACATTTCTTTGGAACATTAATAAAAAGAAAAAAACCCACCAGTGAGCTCAGAAACACCAAAAGACTTGGAAGACCATGAAAAACAACTGTGGTGGATGACCAAAAAGTTCTTTCCCTTGTGAAGAAAACACCTTTCACAACAGTTGGCCAGATCAAGAACACTCCTAAGGAGGTAGGTGTATGTGTGTCAGAGTCAACAATCAAGAGAAGTCTACACCAGAGTGAATACAGAGGGTTCACCATAAGATGTAAACCATTGGTGAGCCTCAAAAACATGAAGGCTAGATTAGAGTTCTAAAAAAGCCTTCATAATGCTGGAACGACATCTTTTGGACAGATGAGATCAAGATCAACCTGTACCAGAGAAGAGAAGAGTATGGAGAAGGAAAGGAACTGCTCATGATCTTATTGAGGCATGATGGTAGTAATGACATGGCAAAGATTTGTATGGCTGCCAATGGAACTGGTTCTCTTGTATTTATTGATGATGTGACTGCTGACAAAAGCAGCAGGATGAATTCTGAAGTGTTTCAGGCAATATTTCTGCTCATATTAAGCCAAATGCTTCAGAACTCATTGGACAGTCCTTCAGCGTGCAGATGGAGAATGACTCAAAGAAACTGCAAAAGCGACCAAAGAGTTTTTGAAGGGAAAGACGTGGAATGTTATGCAATGGCCAAATCAATCACCTGATCTGAATCCGATTGAGCTTGCATTTCACTTGCAGAAGAAAAAAACTGAAGGAAAAATACCCCAAGAACAAGCAGGAACTGAAGAGAGTTTCTGTAGAGGCCTGGCAGCGCACCACCAGGAATGAAGCTCAGCTTCTAGTGATGTCTATGCGTTAAAGACTTCAAGTTGTAATTGACTGCATTTGCAACCAAGTATTTAGAAGTGAAAGTTTTATTTTTGATTATTATTCTGTCTAATACTTTTGGTTCCTTAACAAGTGGGAGGCACATATGCAAACTGTTGTAATTCCTAAAGCGTTCACTTGATTTGGATGTACAGTAAATACTCTCAAATTAAAGCTGACCGTCTGCTGTTGAAGCACATCTTGTTGTTTAATTTCAAATCATATGTGTTTGCGCATAAAGCCAAAAATGTTAGAATTGTGTCGATGTCCAAATATTTATGGACCTAACTGTACAGTAGGGAAACTTACTCTTACACACAGATTTTACAGTACAATTTATACATTTATTTACAGTTAAAAACACAATTGTTTATTTACCGTAAGCAGAAAGTGATTTAAAAAGAAAAAAAAATCATTGAGATCATCTGAAAGTAAGAATAAAAATGTGATGTCATGTAAATGTGATGTCAAGAGAGTTTAAAATGTTCTGCTGTGCTGCTTTTTTGTTTTTGTATGCAGCATATTATCTGTTTGTTTCTAAGAAGTATGATGACTAACACATTCAAATATGCACAAAGAGTTTAACAGGTCTGTGCACACCATATAAGGATGGCACTGATAGACCAGCCCTGGTCAGTGTGGTTCTCTCAGCATCTGCTAATGTTTTCCCATCTGTCTTTTATTAAACCTTTGTTTTCACAGGGATCAAGAGATGTGAAAAACGCTTGAACGCAATTGTCATTGTTCTACTAAATTAATAATTAAGCATGACAGGACTCTTTTTCAGGAACAGCTGGCACAACATTAATGTTTAAAGATCAAGGAATCAGAGATAGAATTTCAGAAGTCATCAAAATCTCATCGCCCTAAAGGTATCGACTTAATTTTGGGATGGGTACTATAAAAGAAACCCAGACGTGACCTTAAATTCAATGTTTTTCCTCAAAATGCTGAATTTAAAGCCAAACAAAGCTCTCACCTAGTTCATGTGCGGTGGTGAAGGCTGAAGGGAGGCCATCATCTTCAATAACCGAGCAGCTTCTCTTAGGATCACACATGGTGCCCACGTCAGCCATACCAAGAGTGTCACACGTAGTGGCCCCACACAGGTCCTGTGAAGAGGATGATTGTAGTGTGAATTCACTAATGGTAAACAAGCATCAAATGTTTTATTAGCAGTTCGAAGACGACAGTAGTAATCTCGCTTTTAAACTCTGTAATTGCTTCAAATCCCCATGCTTCCTGATTGAGCTTTCCCAGTGATTAGATCTGATCCACAGCATATGTGTGTGAATCGTCTATTTCCGATTTGTCCGATCTGAATAAATGGTTAATGTCTATTGACATAATGGGAAGCACAGGGCGTTGTGGACCAATGAGGGTGGCCAAGAATGCTTGTAAACATCTGTAGTTACAACATAGTAAAGAGGACAGATGGACCCGTGTGAGAACATCATAATGCAGCCACCTGGAGCCTTAAGAGAGAACGTTTAGAAAGTCTAAATACATTCCAATATTTTCTTAACATAAATAGTAGATGTTTTTCATGCACATCAGCTCTGTGTGTATTTTAAAGGGATACTCCTCTCTTTTTTTGGGGCGGGGGGGGGGGGGGGAGGGGGGGGGGGAATTCTGTCTGGTGGGCAATAGTATCTGGATACAGCCTTGATGATGCAAGCTAAGACTGCATATCTCAGTAATGCAATGTCAGACACATTGCACTCAATGGAGCTAGTAACGTCACTGCGAGTGGTAGGGTTAGGTGAGCGCATTACAGAACATTGGATGCAGCTCAGATTGCACTGCACCAAGTCTGCATTAAGAGCCCTCTTCTGGTGGGAGCACTTTTAGCATAGCTTAGCATAAATCATTGAGTTGGCATGTCGTTTAAATATTACTAAAAAAAAGCTCAATACTTTTCCTATATTTTGGCATAATAATCAAGCAACTTTGCTGCTGTACCATTATGCAATGATGTAACGCAGTGACTGAAACTAGGTAACAGTGCTGTGTAATATCGTTGTGCCTGCTACAGCCATGGTACAGCAGCAAAATTCCTGGATTATTACACTGGAATGGGAGTGTTCAAAGCCATATTGTTGACCTATTAAATGGCTTCTTATATTTTCTGTTGGATTTAGTACACAATGTAACTACAGAAGAGTCAAGATTTAAATAAGAAAATTATCAAACCATTTTTTTACATGCTAATGGTCTAATCTGATTCAATGATTTATGCTAAGCTAAGCTAAGAGTGCTCCTGCTAGACATACTGTAGAGATCATATTGGTTGGCTTTGACAATGGTAAGATTCAACTGTTTATATCTAGAGGACTTTTAAATTTAGCCTGTTTAGCCTAATAGGTGGAGTGTTCCTTTAATACCTTAAATAATACAGTATATATTTGTTGCTTTATTCCTGTGTAAAATGAACACATGGAGTAAATTGTTTTGTTAAATAACAGGTGCAAAGCAGGTAACTTGGCAAAGCGGTTAGTGTTGTAATGACAGCTGACTTGGATCAGTCCACTGCTTGAGTCAGTGTGTTTTTGTAACAAGTCATGATGTGTGCTTTCAGCTTTCTGATGATGTAATGGTGCTTTTTGGTTTATATTGGAATCAAATGGTAGAAAATTACATTTTCTTGCATGGGTCACTCCCGAGCCTTATTTGCTGAAATGTTTTACTTTTTTTCTACCCAGATGGCATGTCATGATGTTAGTATTGAATTGTTTCTGCTGTTCCAAAACTCTTGAACTATGTAATGCAAAATAAAGTCATCCATACCAGAAACAACTGAGGAAAAGTTATGTAAGAGGTGAATCATGATGTTAGAGATTACAAAAAGAAATCATAATAAGTAAAAAAATATATTAAGTATTTAGCAATGCATTTTTTGTGTAATTGCTGCCCTGATGTTTTTAATCCCCCCCTCCCCTCCAGATTTGTTGTTCATAGGTGTAGTTAACCCAAAATGTATTTATTTCTTCTTTGTATGCATACATCATTATGTGGAAGCTCACATTCCAATTCCAGACTGCCCTGAATCCACTCAGGACTGTTTGCCAAGGCTGTTTTCCAAGTTAATAATTGTTTTAGTTTTTACTTTAAAAGACCTCAATTTTTTGTCAGGAGCCATTGGTATTCATTTTGTTTGCCTGTATCTGCTTTTTACCTTTTAAAGTGCCACTGACTTCTACGTCTTCACCTACATCTTGGATGACTTAATGGTGAGTAAATAAACATTTCTGAATCAAGGTTATATTTTACAGAAATGCACTTCCTGTAAAACTACACCACATAGGCTTTCCTTTGAGGATTATTTAAATATTATTTTTACAAAAACTGATAAAGTGATAGTTTACTTAAAAATGGCAATCGTTACAGGTTTCCAACATTCTTCAAAATATCTTAATTTATGTTCACCAGAAGAAAGAATGTCAAACATGTTTGGAACAAGTGAATGGTGATTTTCAGTTTCGGGTGAACTATACCCCCTTAATAAATGTATTAAATCAAACAGAAGATTATACCAAATTATATGAACATTAACTTCTTTCAGGAGAACTTTTTTTTTTTTTTTGGCAAAATGCATTCTTGCAGCAACAACTAGAGATTGTTTTGTTTATTCCAAGACAATTATCAAAACATCAAATCAGAAATCCATTTATTTCTGTCTTAACTGACACATCCAGACGAAAAAGTCATTGACCTAGATATGTGAACATCCTTTCTTACCTGCTTTGTAAACAGAATAGCCGTGTCCCAGTACTCAGGGTGTTTGTCGTTGACTTTGTTGAGCTTCTTCTGCCAGGTGCAGAAATTGCGCAGGGTTAGTGCTGCGTTACTGGATACTTTGGGTCCCTTTTCTGCCTCATTAATCACTATAAGCTTTACAACCACTATACTGATGGCATTCAAGATACTGGGGTGTTTGTACAGCTTTGCAGTGACGGACAAAAGAGTCAGAAGGTAATGCTTCAGGTCGTCACCATGAAATTTTGCCATTGACTCATCAGCAACAACCAGCACCTCCACGTATCTCGGGATAGAGGCGAATCTTTTCGACCTGCTCATGCTTCTCAGCAAAGTTTCTGTCAAGTTCTTCGTGTGCCCTTTCAGATGTTTGTACTTATCTAAGGACTCCACAACCTCCTGGTTTGATGTCACTCCGCACTTGGATAAGTTTGGAGCGTTAAGATTTTTCCTGCGGATGACGTGCGTTTTTCCAGCATCATCTGAGATCAGTTCTGGTGCTGTCCTGCGCTCAATGATGTACTCCATCCCGTTATAAGAAAACGCTCCTCGGACACCTCCACACAGACTGAGAGCTGCATATGAATTCATGTCTGCGTTGATATCACCAGAGTAGAAGCATCTTCTCAATTCATCTCCCGAAAGCGCGCTTGGAGATGAGGTGTCTTGAAATGTGTCGTCAGGAGCAAGGAAACTGGAGTCAGGTAAAAGAGTAAGATAGAATTCCTGATTAAACGCGTTTATTCGGTAAACAACAAGTTCTTTGCTCGGTTTGTCAAAACTTGGGACATTTTCACGGTCAAGTCGAACAGGTTCACAAAAATCAGTTTCCACACAGAGGTATCTTTTCGTTAAAATCAGCACATGCAAAAGACAAAACAAAACGGGGAAAACCGACATCATTGTTGGTGGTGAAATATCCCCTTAAAGCTTAATTCACACCGTGATGCTCTTGATCACGGTTCTGTAAATCCGTCAAGAGAATTAAGCTAATCGCCATCCTCTGTGAAACCAGCACACTCTTTTTTTTTTTTTACTTCACATGTAATCATTGCAGATTGTGATAAGAGCTTTTGGGAGGTTCTGATGAGAGCTCATGGTTCATGTTGAACACCGCAGAGGCATCTGACTCTCTTATTATGAGCATCAAGCCAGGCGCGCTTCAGAAGTTCCCTCCCACTCCTTACAAATCACTGTCATTTGTAGAGGTGTGGAATACTTGGCAAGAGGCTTTGATGGGAAAAGACTGTGCTAACGGGTGTATTTGTTGTTATTTTTAATTAATATATATATTTAAATTAATTAATAAAAAAACTTTCTGCACTCTTAGAAATAAAGGTACAGGAGCTGTCACTGGGGCAGTCCCTTTTCAAAAGATAAATATTTGTACCCAAAGAGTTCACAGTGTTACCTCAAAGGTGCATATTAATGCCCACATGTACCAAAAAAGTACCTTTGAATTTCCATTATAGACCCTTCAGGTTCAAATATCTACCTTTTGAAAAGGCATTGCCCCAGTAACAGCTCATGTATCTTTATTTCTGAGAGTGTACGGTGTCTTATTAATTAAATAAAATACAATACATGTGTTGGTTATCGAATACTTTTGGTTGTAATGCAGACACAACACTTTATATTATTTATATGAGGAAAGGTAATAAATCCAATTAAAACAATCATGTAGTTTTGGTGATTTTACCTTAACAATACGTTATACTACTAAAGTACTAAGAGAATAAACAAGGTTTTTCTTAATTAAAGAAAAGGGTCAGTGAACAAAGATACAAATGAGAGTCCAATAGAACTGAATAGCTAACAATATCCATGGATAAACCCACCATTAATTTCAATTACTTTGCATTATATTCACAAATGAGACAAGGATGTGATGCAGAACTTAATTTTTGCAATAAACATTTCTAAACTTTTTTTATTATGTTTTTAAAATATTAGCAATCTGGAACAAGTAGTGAACAAATGCCGAATTCCTTCTCCAGAGATGAAACCTTTTATCAATGTTTACATCTTAAACAAGTGGCCAGAGGAGTGGGATGTATTGGAAAATAATAAACTGTATGAAATACAACCTGAAATCTAAAGTTTTAAGACATTTTCATCAGGTGATTGGAGACCCCACTTAATGTTTGTACTGCACAACTCCCCTTACTGTAAAACACATTTTACTGGACTGTCCTGCCTTTAATGATTTCAGAAGGCTTTTTTTAAATGAAATAAACTTTCTTAAGGACATTTTTTAAATAATGTACTAACACTAAAAATCTTATTTAGTTTTGTTGTTTTTAATAGTGTATTGAGAATTGAAATGTTCTTGTTATGAAAATAGCTTTGGTTACTGACATGGCATTTAATAAAAAATACATTACCTTACATTAAAATGCAAGCTCTGTCTTGGGAACAGCAGACTGTAAAAGCAATTCCTGTTTATACTAATCTGCAAAAATGACTTATTGCACCCAAAACTGACATCTGTTATCATTTACTCTATACTTTCACTTGTCACAAACCCATTATTATTATTTTTTTCTGTTGAGCACAAATAATGCTATGTTGAAAATGTTAGAAGCCAGTAACCATTGACTTTTACAGTGTTAGTTTTTCCTAATACAGAGGACAATGTTACCCATTTCGAACATTTAAAAAAAACAAAACTATTTTGTTCAGCAGAAAAAAAGAAACTCATTCTTGCTCATTGACTGAACACATACAATTCATAGACTAACATAGCTCTTTTCTCAAAACTACATTTTCTGTAGTTTAAAAGGAGACAATAATGGTCAAGTCTATCAACTTGCACTTTGAAATTGTGTGTCAAAAGCCACCAAAACCCAACTGATATGCAAATGCCTGGCCCACGTGCTGATTATTTATTTATTTATTTATTTATTTATTTATTTATTTATTTATTTATTTATTTATTTATTTATTTATTTATTTATTTATTATTTTTATTTATTGTTTTAAATGCTGCAGTGTTAATATTTTAGACTTTGTCATCTACCTTGGTTAGAGGGGTTTTATTACTTTGTTGATTTATTTCATTACTTGCTTATTTAGCAACAGGTGATTCCTCAAAATTGCTAAGGAATATTTATTTAAGATGGTAAAATTGATATACACTGCAGATAACTTGAAATTATACACAACAAAAACTAATTTCATAGTATACTTACAGTATAGGTCGACATGCCTTTCTATTTAAGGACCTGACAAAGAACTAACAATGAGCCTTTGTTGCCCAATCTAACTCAACGTTTCAGAATTTCAACTAATATTTAAGCCCTGCCATAGAGAATTGATAGGTAAATTAAAGCTTAACAAAATATAATTGCTACAAGTTCAAATAAATTTGCCTGCATTTGGTATAAGTCACAAGTGTTTTACTGCTGTTTCACATAAGAAAGTATCAAGAGATTAATAAATCTTCTTTGAGAACTTATTTGAGATTCATAATTCTGTGCTTGTAACTCTTGGCTCTGCGGGTTTGTGCACTGCTTGTGGATGCTTAAGTCCTTCAAATTTTTCCCAACCCCCCACTTATCAGCTGACTTCAACACACGTGCTCATGACAGGGCCATGAAAGCCAGTTCTGGGCCAGTTCTGCATGAACTGCCAGATGATCTGCATATAGAACATCGCAGCTTCTTTGCCCTTGCCCACGGTGGAACAAGTCATGTTTGATAAAGTGGTTCTATGGACAAGCCTGACTAGATATTGGAAAATCTCCATCATTGTTCTGCTCAAGGAATGTATTTCTGAGCAGACCTTTCTTGATGTTTGTGACCCTTGGCTGCCATTCTGTATAATCTTGCTATGGGTTTTGAGAACTGAGATCTCATTTGTAGTGTAAACCAAAGGATATCTTTTTTTGTTGTATTTTAACATAGATTTTCCCTGCTAATTAATATGCATAAAGACTAGTGGGTTGAGAGACCCCAAGAGGCCCTCCCCCAACTTAATAAAATAGCAATACACCATTAAAAAAGCACTATATAGATTAATTTATTCATTCAGACATTCATTAAAACTGTATAACTTAATAACAAAAATGACATTTATTCATTCAACTGTTGTCATAAACATAATGAAACCTAATATAGACTTTTTATTGTAACCTTCATAAACATAATATATTCATTGTAACATAGTCCTAACAAAAATGCATATAACTTGAAAGATGATACACAAAATGTTTTGAAAAATATTAGTCATATAGACCAGGGATGGCCAAACTCGGTCCAGGAGGGCCGGTGTCCTGCACAGTTTAGTACCAACACTAATCAAACACACCTAAACAAGCTGATCAGTGTCTTCAACATCCCTAGAAATCTACAAGCAGGTGTGTTTGATTAGAGTTGGAGCTAAACTGTGCAGGACACGGGCCCTCCTGGACCGAGTTTGCCCACCCCTGATATAGACTAAAAGGGCTACATTACAGCTCGTTCTGGGCATCAGCAGTCTTGCATCTTTCTATCTCAATAATCTTCGCCCTCTGGTGTCCGTGTCAGAGAATATCAACAAACCGCCTAAAATAGAACGAAAATATGAATGAAGCCAGAGTGCGTGTGTGCACATCCATATACAATGACTTACCGCCACCTGGTGGAAATTGTATATTAAGTCTCATCTCTACATAATCTGAGTTGTCAACTACAATGAATAACATTAATTTATTTTTAGAGTATTGTAAAATAATAATGTTTCAATAATGATGATCTTATACACTGAAAAAAATATGTTTGCAAAATTGTCGCAAACAATATGTGTTGAATTTAACCAAACTAATTAAATTTAGTAATGTTCAACTTAATTTGTTTGTTTGAATAAATTGTTTACAACCATTTAACTTAAAAAAGTAAATCCAAGGAATCATCTTTGAATCGTTTGTGTGTGTGTGTGTGTGTGTGTGTTTACGAATTACTGCGTTTTATAGCCCTTCTTGTGCAAAGCACTCTCCAGATATCTAAACACAGCAGTAGCGTTAATTCATGAATCATCACCTTTTTGTTGTTTAAATAATAAGGCCAAGTTAGCCAAAAATGAAAAAAAAAAAAATGCAACAGTTTGTGCAGCGTTCATAAGCATAAATTCTTTTTATAATTACTAATTATTACTATTAGTATCTATTTATAAAAGTTCTTTTTTTAAATAGGCTATTTAAATAAGATTTTGGAGGCTTTTTCCTTTTTAAAAAATGTTTCTAAATGAAGGTTTTGGGTCAATTCTAATCTAAATGCATGCTGTTTAGTCATTACAGCACTTTCAATCTAGAAATACTATATTATAATTACACAAAATCTAGAAATTCATATTATAATAATTACTAACTATTAGGCTACAAGTATCTATTTATAAAAGTTCCCTTTTAATATTTATAAAAGTTTTTACTGGACTTATTGCGGGAACATATTGGCTACCTCAGCACGTTTAGTCTTGAAATACATTAATATTAACAACTCAGTTGACAAACTGTTGCTATTTAGAAAGGAGTGTGCATCTCAGTTTTCATTGGGCAAACCCGATCCAGAGGTTTTTCATGAGCGCTGGTGGGAGGAGAGACTACAGCAGCGCTGGATATCAAAAATAAACCTCTCATTTCTCAGAAAGTATAAATACCAGCGCCTCAATCCAGAGACAGTCCTGTGGACTAAAGAGCTCAGGAACTTGGCTCCGATTTACCTATAATTCAATTTGCACTCATAGTAAGGATGCATTGAATTTATTCACTTTCAAAATAGTTTTAAGCTAGTGGCATGTGCTGGATAGTAGTCATAAATGTTAATAATATTAATATTAGAGAAAGTGCTTGAGTAAGGCTTATGAAAGTTTGTCAGTCACATTAGATTAGTTGATCAATAAGTTACAAATATTATTATTATTTTTTAATTTAGGAATAGCGGTGTTTTAATAAAATGTGGTCGTATTTAGTTATATTTGTTTGCCTCTTCGCTGAAACATCTGCTCGCTTGTTTGAGACTGAAGAGATTGTACCTGTTCAACTGACTGGAAGAAGCGGTGGACGAGTGGCAAAGAGGAGTGAAACGCAGCCCAGCTTCAGGCTCTCGGCTTTCGGCAGGAATTTCACACTCAATTTGACACCGGACAGCACCTTCATATCGCCAGCGCTGAAAGTTTACCGCGTCAAAGTCAAACCACAAGAAAAGTCAACCAGCAACCTGACAGATCTTTATCAATCCTTGAATCAAACCGAGGAGACTGGGACAGAGTTTTTAAAAGGCTGCTTTTACACCGGCTTTGTTGACTCCAGTGAAGACTCAGTCGTTTCTGTCAGCTTATGTCGTGGGATTTTAGGATCGTTTATTTCAGATGGTAAAGAATATCTAATCGAACCGAAATCTTTCGGTTTGGGGACTAAAGGAAAGTTAACCGAACAGCTGCATGTCATTAAAAGGAGACGTTTTGCAAAGTCCTCGCAGGTTTCTAAACAGCTGTCAGATATGAGAGCTGATCTTCAAAACTCAAGGATCCAGATGCCATCCAGGCGAAGGCGCTTTGTCTCAACTCCCAGGTTTATTGAGACGCTGGTTGTCGGTGACGCCTCCCTCACACACTTCTATGGGGACGAGATCAAGGTGAGAGCTCACACGTGTGAAGATAAAAATGTGTTTACTCTTAGCAGTTTTGACAGCTGAAAATCTGCTTTTTAGTTTGTTCAACCCTTTATGGTGCACTCTATGGAAAAAAAATAACTTGGCCTGAAACCACTCTATTTATTTATTTATTTATTTATTTATTTTTTATTTTATGGAAAAAAATGTCAACCAGGTGGTTACCATGCCTGGCAAAGCTGGTTCAAGATGTCCCAAGCTGGTCATAATTGACTGACCATCCATCATCTAACATAATCCAGTTTACCATTTGAAGATGTGATGACCTGTTTTTTTTTTTTTTTTTTTTTTTTTTTTTTGCTGGTCTTACATAGTACACTAGCATACAGGCAATAGAGATTTCACCAATAAAAACTAAATAGAAAACACAAATAAAGGCCTTTTTTGACTTAAAGGAATGCCAAAAAAATAAATAGAATTTGCTCACTCTCAAGTTGTTCCAAACCTTTATGAGTTTCTTTATTATGTTAAAAAGAAAATAAAATATTTTGAAGAAAGCTGAAAACCTGTAACCATTGACTTCTATAGTACTGAAACAAATACTATGGAAATCAATTGTTACTTGTTTTCAAGATTTATTAATATATCATCTTTTGGATTCATCAGAAAACATGTCTTACAGTTCTGGTACAAGTAAACAGAGTGCTTGAGTAAATTACTGTCTTAGCTGGTTTAAAATGGTCTATGGCAGGGGTGGCCAACCCTGTTCCTGGAGTGCCACCTTCCTGCAGGTTTCAGTTGCTACCCATATCAAACACACCTGAACCAATTAATTAAGACCTGAACACCTCGTGATAATTACAGGCAGGTGTGTTTGATATGGGTTGCAACTGAAATCTGCAGGAAGGTGGCTCTCCAGGAACAGGGTTGGCCACCCCCTGGTCTATAGAATAAGCAAATTGGCTTCCAATTTACTTTGTGGTCTTCCACTAAGACTGGTGTAGTCCTTACTTAAACCAAACAACGGACAAAATTGGTGATGCTGACCACCTAAAATCCTCACAAAACTTGCAAACTAAACAAATATATCTATGCTGAAGACCAGTTAAGACCTGCAAACCATCCCAGGGATATAAATTCCAATTATTATAAGCTACACCCGCCTTTTGAGTCAAATGCCAGTTCAGAAAATCAAAACAACAATAAAACTTTACCTTACCGCTAAGAGCAATTTAGTGAACATTGAGGGACGTGTCAAACTGTTCAAACTATGGAGTACAGTTAGAAGAATGAGTCACGGTTCACAAGAACTGTACTGATCTTCACACCCACTTATGATCCACCTCCTACTCAAATTCTCCATCATCGAGTCATCAAAAACAAATGATTGGAAGAGACTGGAGTGCGAAAAAATGCACTGTCCCAGTCGGGATCATGAGGCAGATAGCAATCCAGATGTTGATATTGGGATCCAACTCTCCAAATTTTGCAGATGGAAACACAAGGCCTCATAAAATCAATGGACCACCAGCTGCTCTTACTGTTGATGTCAGGGATTTTCAACAAACCACATAATTATGTGAATAGCAGTAGAAAAGAAATCTTTAGAATAATATCTGGTCTATGACTATCAACTAGATTTCTCCCCATTGAAAGCCTATACCGAATAGAGTATTTATATGGACTGTTTTGTAAATTCTGCCTTTGGATTGCTTGGCCCTATTGCTGCTTGCAGCAATATGAGCAACATCACATGAGTAGCAGCGCGATATGGCTTTATGTCCACACTGATGGGAGGCATGCGTAAGTGCCTTAGTCCCCACCAGTGCTGATCTACAGCCATATTGCACTGCTACCAGTGTGATATTGCGTTTATTCCACAGTTCAACGGTATAATCATGTATATTAAAAAGACAATCAAACACAGAGAGTCTCAAAAACCCTTATTTACGTGGAACTACTTGCTTTCATCACATCTGCAGTTAATGTCAGAGCAGCAGAAACCGTTGCTACTATACAAATGTCACTTTAGAGCTAGTATTTAAATGATTCTCTAGCTTAATGTCTAAAGTGATGACAAAACAGGTAATTTTTGCTCACATTTTAAGATTATAAGGCTGAACTGCATGAAATGCCATCATCTACAATGATTTCCCAGTATTTCTCTATTGCAATCAGATCACAATACTTAACCCTAAAAAAGGCAAAGCAAACAGTACCAGTTTATGTGTCAAAAATACAGCACTACAAAATACAAGAGAGAGATGGACTTAGAATGTCACTTACCTGATTTATAATGATTTGTTCAGCTGTAATTTAAAACTTGCGCTAAGAAAATGCTGTTTTGCTTATAAGGGCTTATTATACGGTCTCTGTCGCCATCTTGTGGCGGATTGTCAACCATCACTTTCTTTGGTCTGCTCAGACAGGCTAATAGTGGTCTATGTACTAAATCCAATGCTCCGAATTTAAAAATATTTTAAAATAGGCACTGTTCTTATAAATAAACTGCATAGCTGCAATTAAAATATTTGCATTCTTGACTAAAAAGCCTCAAAAGTACATTTATGTTGCCTAACAGCAGGAAAATTTGTCAAACTCTGTCCTCTGCTTGTCACTGTATGTGGGAGGAGTAATACACAAGGGTGAAGGGTGAAGACGTGGTATGAGTGCTGTTATTTGCAGAATATTGCATGGCTATCAGCTAATCAGATTCAAGAAACAGACAGAACTGTTGTATAAACTTATATAAGGTACTGTATATGAATGCTTATCTGCAAAAAGTAAACAGTGATCCTGCCTTATTTAAACAGAAATATGACAACAAAACCAGTGATAACTATCAATTTTTGAATTATTATCTAACTTATGAAATTTGAATTAATAAGCTTTGTATTGATGTTTCAGCACATGACAATATTTGGCTGAGATACTATTTGAAATATGGAATCTGAGGGTTAAAAAAAAATCATATACTCAGTATGTCCAAACCATGTTCTTAGCAATGCTAATTACTAATCAAAAATTGAGTTTTGAGATATTTACAAATGGAAATTTACTAAATATCATGGAACTTGATCTTTACCTAATATTGTTATGTTTCTTTGTCATAAAAGAAATAAATAAATCAATTTGGCTCAATTGATACAATTGTTTTCTGGATATTGCCATTAATATACCGATGCAGCATAAGGTTTTGTGGTCCTTGGTCACATATTTCAAGTCCACAATAACTTGGAAAATATGTCATACAAAATACTTTCCGTTCCAGCAGTTGTGAGCTTTAGTGCCAAGATTTCATCATGCTTTCACACTTATCATACTTCAGGAATTTTCAACAAATAAACCACATATTTATGTAGAGTCAGTAGAAAAGAAATGGATGGCTCAGCCAGCTAAATATTATTCTCCAGAGAGGAGTATTAATAGACTGTATATTAAGGAATGCTTCAATACCAAAAAGTAAAATCAATAATCTTGTCCTTTTTATCACAATACATGATTCTGAAAAAGCTAGACATATACAGTCTACAAAAACTTGGAAATTATATAATGCAAAAACCTTTCTGTTCAAGCAGTTGTGAACTGAACTGCCAAGATTTTACTGTGCTTTCACACTTATACTGCTGACTTCAGGAATTTTTAACAAATAAACCATATATTAATGTGGAAATAGTCAGTAGAAAAAAATCTCTAGAATAATATTTGGCTCTATCAGCTAAAAGTTTTTAAAACATTAATTTAAGGTGTCTTTGTTACACGTTGCACGTACTTACAATGCATCCGGAAAGTATTCGTAGCGCTTCACCTAATCCACATTTTTATGTTACAGCCTTAATCCAAAATAGATTAAATTTGTTTATTTCCTCAACAGACATTTTCAGATCTCTCTAGAGATGTTCAATATAATTTAGGTCTGGGCTCTGGCTGGGCCACTCAAGGACATTCATGGAGTTGTTGTAAAGCCACTCCATTGATATTTTGCCAGTGTACTTTGGATCATTGTCCTGCTGGACGATGAACCGTCAACCAAGCCTGAGATCAAGAGCACTCTGAAGCAGGTTTTCATTTAGGATGTCTCTGTACTTTGCTGCACTCAGACAGAGTGACAATCGGATTTTTGATGACCTCCCTGACTAAGGCCCTTCTCCCCCGATCACTCAGCTTAGATAGCCGTCCAGCTCTAGGAAGAGTTCTGGGGCCTCATGTAACAACGCTGGTTTCACGATAAGAATTGCTGACGTTTGGATTTACTAACGATGAAATGAACGTGAGAATGTGTGTTGTTCCACGCCAACTTCATGCCTGGCGTACCTACATTTCTTTTGTGTGTTTGTTTTATTTCCATTGGCGACTCCTATAGAAAATTGTGTTAAATTGCACACTACAAAGTATTTTTGAGCCTTGCAATGGCAGCTGACAACTGTATGGGACGAGATCATCCGCATGTCTAGCAGGTATATGAGGTTTCCATACTATGCAGTTGACCAGCCAAACATTAAAGTGCAACTTGCAGCGATCGCCGGTTTTCCCATTGTAATCGGAGCGATCAACTGCACGCACATCGCTATAAAGGCGCCATCTGAAGACGAATTTGCATACGTGAATCAGAAACATTTCCATTCAATAAATGTACAAAAAATATGTTATGCTCAAATGCGCTTAACATAATACCCACACTTATTAATGATTCCTTCTTGTGTTCCTCGTGATGGAAGAGTAGACAAAATCTGATATGTAGTGGGGGAAAAAGAATGAGTTCATCAGACGCTGGATTCGAACCGCGTTCTTGAATGACAGTGTCAAAATATGATGCCATGTGTGTTACGCGCTACGCCACTCACACTGATGCTGTCCTCCCTCTTTAACTTTGTTGTCTCTTCTGATCAAACGGGCGGAAATCACTCAACTACTTCATTCCAACGACAAACTTGCAAATAACATCGTTTTTCTCCAGTCTACCTCCGACAGGAGCACCTCCAATTCACATTCTATTTAAAGTTTCTCTTTTTGCCTACTTTTGCCATTGCTTTTTCGTTTGGTTTTGCCAAAGTAGAGTCATTAGCATATTCATATGGGGGAGGAGGCAGGGAGGGGTTTTGCGCTCGTGCATGTGCGCACAGTTTCACGTTAATTTGGATGTACAAAGAGAATATGCGTGGGGTTATGTGTACGTAGTGTTTCATACATTTGAATTTTTACTGCGTACGCACATTTACAGCTTTGAGCTTACGCAATGTTTTAGTATGATTTCAACACAAGTCTTCATACATGAGGCCCCTGGTGGTTCCAAACATCTTCCACTAACGGACGATGACTCCTGTGCTCATTGGAGCTTTCAGAGCAGCAGAATTTTTTCTGTAACTTTCCCCAGCCTTGTGCCTTGAGACAATCTTGTCTCGGAGGTCTACAGACAATTCCTTTGTCTTCATGCTCGTTTTTGTCTTTGGCATACACTGTCAACCCTGGGACTTTATATAGACAGGTGTATGCCTTTTCAAATCATGTCCAATCAACTGAATTTACCACAGGTGAACTCCAATTAAGCGGCTAAAACATCTCAAGAATGATCAATGGAAACAGAATGTACCTGAGCTCAATTTACAGCTTCACAGCAAAGGCTGTGAATACTTATGTACATTTGATATTTCAGGTTTTTTATTTTTCATAAATTTGCAACAATTAAAAAAAAATCTTTTATCACATTGTCATTATGGGGTATTGTGTGTAGAATTTTGCGGAAATAAATTAATTTAATCCATTTTAAAATAAGGCTGTAACATAAAAAAATGTGAAAAAAAGTGAAGCGCAATAAATACTTTCTTGATGCAATGTACATTAGTAATTACAAGGAATTATGCGTAATTACTTAACTAACCATAAACTTAACGCACATTCTAACACTAACCATATGATAAATTCAAATAATTCATTAATATTATTCAATACTTAAATGAATTGTGTACTATAATAAGCACACCTTTAGAAATTATAAAAATATCTCGATTTTAATGAAATATTGCATCTATTTTTGATGAAGTCAATAATTAATAAACAAAACAAAAAATAAATAAATAAAAACAAGTAATTGGCCACAGTAACTTTTAAAAATATGTCATGCAAAAGCTTTCAGTTCCAGCTGTTGTGTGCTGCACTGCCAAGATTTCATCACGTTTTCACACTTAACATTCTGCTGCACAGTTGGCGAGTAGCAAGCCGTTGCCTTTCTCTTTTTAGCACTACATGCTGACCTTGATGTCAGTGGCCGCCCAGGTTTACAAGCACCCCAGCATTAAGAACTCCATCAACATTGTGCTTGTGAAGATGCTGATTGTGGAGGATGAAGAGGTCGGGCCGTCCATCTCCAGCAATGGAGGCGTAGCTCTGCGTAGCTTCTGTGCCTGGCAGCAGCTCTTCAACCCGTCCAGCCACAGGCATCCGGAGCATTACGATACAGCCATACTGTTCACTAGAGAGGTGAGCATTGATTTATGATGTATTTGAGAGTCAGCCGATATCCATTTATGTGACCATGATGAAGTGAGATTTTTGACGTGAACTGGATTTAGAATAGCCAGTCCTTGAGAAGAAAACAAGAAGTTCTTATTATGAAAATAATAGTTTAATATGGACTGAATGAAATGTTTAAAGGGATAGTTCACCCCAAAATGAAAATGTAATCATCATTTGCTTGCTGTCAAATGGTCTCAAACCTTTTTATATTTCTTTAATCTGTTAAACAGTAGAAATACTATTGAAATACTATTGAAACCAATGGTTACAGGTTTTCAGCTTTCTTCAAAATATCGTATTTTTTGTTCAACAAAGAAAGTCAAACAGGTTTGGAAACAAGTGAAGGATGTGTAAATGATGGCAGTATTTTAAGGTTTGGATGAACTATCCCTTTAAATGCATGCCATTTACAATTAATCAGATAATAATTAAAGTTTAAAGGGCACCTATTGTACCCCTTTTACAAGATGTAAGATAATCCTTTGGTGTCTTCAGAATGTGTCTGTTAAGTTTCAGCTGAAAATACCCATCAGTATTTTCTATACCCATCTATTTATTATAGCCTCCACAATCTGGCCAATTTTGTGTCTGAGTACAGTGTAGCTGTTCTTTTTCTACCCTTTGGCTTTAAATGCATTTGAGCTGCTTCTCCTCGCTCACCACTCCCACATGCGTGTCTGCTTCTCATCATGCAATATGTCAGATAAACAGCAGTCAGTGATAGAAACAGACTCAGATGAAGCTGAAATACAGCTCATTAGACAAAAATACAGAGTAAGTATATTTCATGTATCTGCGGTGGTTTATTCGAGCCTTTCTGAAATGATAAGTCTCATACAAATGCCTTTTGCAGTACACACAAAAAGACGTGCGTTCACTGACACCATGCGGTCGTGGGGATTATAGCAGTTAAGAATTAGATATGGATTTTACTGTCTTTATTACAAACATGCTCTGTTTCAAAAATGTTTTAAGCTTATAAAACATGAGAGTTGTAACAAATATTTTAATTCCAATTTATTTGCAAATATGTATACATGTTATCATAGAAACATGGTGCCTGTCAATCAATTCGGTGGGTGGGGAATACCACTTTGCTGTCACTTATTAGAAGTAGGACCTAAGTACATCATTAATCCATTTCATAATTAAGTCTGTCATCTACAATACCATGGAGCTAATAATATGCCAAAACAATCTGAATTTGAATTGTGCTATTTTGAATTATTGACAATTGTAATTTAATAAATCCAAAATTCAAAATTCGTAATTTGAATTTAAATTTCACAACTTAAATATTGAACATCTGAAATGTAATACAACTGAATTCTTCAAAGGAAGATTTTTTTTATAGGCATATTTTCAAAATTCAAAGACTGCTGCTATCCAGTTTGTAAAAATACAGTTTAAAATTTTCAAGATGAAGAAATTCAGGACATCGAATTCAATATCCTAAAATTCAAAACCAAAAATTCAGATCGTGAAATTCAGATTCAGCAGAAAGTTGGTCAGGGGTCATCAGCAGGGAATATCTACATGTAGCCTAATGTAAAATTAGAATCATGTGTATTTTAATAGCGAGGAAACAAATGCATGGACTTTGGTATTTCGAAAAAAGTCTACCTTGAAAAATTCAGTTGAATTACATTTCAGATGTTCAATATTAAAGGTTATTGAAATTCAAATTCAAATCAAGAAATCCAAATTCAACATTTTTTCACAGCATATAAAAATTCAGATTTATTAAATTACAATTGTCAATATTTCAAGTGAACACAATTCAAATTGTATTAGCATATGATTAGCCCAATATTCTCACAGATCTTTACGGTAAAATGAAATATACCTTAAGCCTCTTAATGCATTTGGTTCTCTTTTGACAGGAGCAGATATATATTAAGTTGTAATTTTTATAAAAATTCAAATAGACAGGGAAATAGATTTTTTTAAATATCTTATTTAGATCACTAAATAATAACAAATATTGATGCAACCTGCTGCAGGTAAAATAAAGCTTTGCATGTGTTGTGCATTGTAAACATGCCAAAATAAGTGTACTTTTTTAAATCATTAAAAAGATTAAGGTTGCTGGGTCGCTGGTTCGATCCTCGGCTCAGTTGGCGTTTCTGTGTGGAGTTTGCATGTTCTCCCTGCGTTCGTGTTCCCCCACAGTCCGAAGGTGAATTGGGTAGGCTAAATTGTCCGTAGTGTATGTGTGTGTGTGTGTGTATGTTTCCCAGAGATGGGTTGCGGCTGGAAGGGCATCCGCTGTGTAAAAACTTGCTGGATAAGTTGGTGGCTCATTTTGCTGTGGCGACCCCAGATTAATAAAGGGACTAAGCCGACAAGAAAATAATTGTATAAATAAAAAGATTATTTTAAAAATATAATTAAAATGTAAGGAAAATTACATTCCTTACTTTATTTTGACTAATAATTTAAATAAGTACAAAGTACATAAAAAGACTGTTAATTTGATTAAAGTCACATTAAATTATGTTTAGTAAAAGTGTACAATTAAAAGCTTATTTTAAAAAACATTATGCTACTTAAAATGTGTGTATGTGTTTGGGTTCAGCAGCTCCACATAAGCTTGACCTGTGGAAAAGTGTGTGTGGTGCATTGCTCATTACTGGAGCAGCAGACTATATGGCATATTGAAACTGAAAACGAAGCTGAAATTAGCAGCAGACTCGCTGCAGACAGCAGCTCCTCGGAAAGGTGAACACATGTGAGTCCGACTCTCAGACTGAGCCAAGGCCAGATGTGCCTTGAATCATGTGTGTTTTGTGGCCTTCTGCTTTGGAAACATTCGTCTCCGTCTCGGATCTCTGGGCAAAAGATGGAAAAGACTCCAGGCATGTTTTTGAGATACATTTTCTCACTTCATAGGTCTGCCTCTGCCAAAACTATTTATTTGCTTGGTTTTATGATGGAAACACTGGCAAATATGTGTTTTGCTTTTGCTATTAACCAGAGACCTGGAACGGCATCAAGAATGACATTTTTTTTTATTCTAAATCGCCTTTCAGGACATCTGTGGACATCAGAGTTGCGAGACGTTGGGTGTAGCTGATGTTGGAACCATGTGTGACACTAAAAGGAGCTGTTCTGTGATTGAAGACAACGGCCTTCAGGCTGCTTACACAACTGCACATGAGCTAGGTGAGGATAAAATTAGTAAGAAAACATGCTTCAGCGTGCATCTATATGAAACCACAAAATGTACTTCAACATACATCTGACTGCAGTTTCTAGTTAAAATTAACACCACAGGCAGAATGACACCAACAACAGTTGTTCCTTTTCATATGAATGACAGTTTCAGAGACATACTATTGACAAATAAACAATTATTATGTGCATTACTTTGCACAACACCAAATGTCATAAAACAGCTTAATGATGTCTGTGATTTGTACTTTATTGAATATATTTACACAAACTTTTCAGGCGTGGTCAGTTTGCTTGGTAGCTCACCTTATACAGAGTTGTACTTGTGATGGAAAGTCCTTGGGTTCAAGTCCAGTGAAGCACAGTTCCACAAAACAGATAAAAGCTATTTAAAAATAAGGTAAAGCAATGTTTCCTTTTGGAATTGGTTTACTACTACTTTTACTATTCATTGGGTTTAGGCTGGCCCGGATTAAGAGTTCAGAGGCCCCTGGGCACAATGTCTTGTAGGCCCCTACCAGGTCGCACCCCTATTGTTAAATAAAAAAATAAGAATAACAAAATATTTTTTAAATAAAAATGATCTAAAATGTATTGCCTGCATTTTTAAAGTAAATGATATAGAGTACATATATTTCTAATCTACAGAGATTTAACAAATTTTTAAAGCATTTAAAGCATAATTAGAAAAAAAAATACTAATACAACTAGTGAAACTTAATGGATTTTAATATTCTTGTTCAAGTTCACTGAAGCAGTACACAAAAATTATATTAAGAGTATTTTTAATGTATATATTCTACACACTTATAATGCATATGATTTGGATATAACACCTCTCCAATCCAGTTTTATGAATCTGAGTCTTCTATAATACACACACTTATTAATGACTCCTACTTGTCTTCCTCGTGATGAAGAGTAAGCAAAATCTGATATGTAGGGGGCAGGAAAGAAAAACAAGTTCATTGGAAGCTAGATTCGAACCAGGTTCATGATCATGTCAAAACAAGCTGCCATGCACTTTACGAACTAAGCCATTCATACTGCTTAGTGTCTTGATCTTTAGTTATGTTGACTCTGTCAATGAAACGGTAATGGGCGGGAATCACTCAATTAGCTTATTCCAACGAAGTGCGCTATTTGCATTTAGCCTAAATAGACTCTCCAAAATCAGGGTCCCCAAGTGCGCACAGGCCCCTGGGCCAGAGCCCATAATGCTTATTGGTTAATCCAGCCCTGGGATTAGGGAAGGGTCCCAGAGCTCTCCCATCTCGTGTGCAAGAAAGACATGTATCTGAAACAAAATGCATCCTAAGTATCATATTTCAGATTCACAAAAATGTAGACAGCATTCTCTAGTAAATTGGACATCTGAAACATGCAGTGAAACCAGAGAAATAATATAATATGTAAACATATCCATCCTGGTCTTTTTTTTTAAACAAAAATAATTTTGTTTTAAATGAGCATAAACAGTTGTTGAAAGGTTTGATTTTATGTTTCACAAAAATGTAGGCTGAGTCATATATTTTCAAATAAACTGTCATTATTGGGCATCAGTAGTTTCATGAAGAACCTTCAACATCTAAGAAACTATTTAAAAAAAGGGTTTATGTGCTCTGCATAATTAAAATGTTCTTCAAATGATATAATACATGAGTCTTTATTTAAAACTGTTTACCTTAAGGTTATACAAAGAACTAAAAATTGTTCTTCTATGTGAGAAATCTTGCTGATTTGACGATCTCTTGTGATCTCTAATTCTTCCATGATGTGGCTTTGTGTCTCCAGGTCATGTTTTGAGCATGCCTCATGATGACACTAAGAGCTGTGAGCAGCTTTTTGGACATCTAGGCGAGGATCATATCATGGCTCCTGTATTCACTCAGCTCAGTAAAACCTCACCCTGGTCACCCTGCAGTGCTTTGTACGTCACTGAGTTTTTCGACAATGGACATGGTACGCACATCCTTTAATTTATGAGCATCATGGTGTAGTTTGCATGGTACTGTTTTTTCACTAACAAAGTTAGTCAAGTTAGTCTAAGTTAGTCTAAGTTACTCAACTTTAACTTAAGCATTGTTTGCCTCCCTCAATTTATTTTCAGAGGCTTTTTTAATGTTTGTAGGGGAATTTTCTATAACTATAAGGGCCATATTTTAATGACCTTAGTACATGGTGGAAGTGCTCTTAGGGCATGTCCGAATCGTTTTTTGCACGTTTAATGATGTGAAAACAGTCAATGCATTTGGTGCAAGGTCTAAAAAGGTTGTACCTTATCTTGTTGTTAAAATTGGGCACAACGTGCGGTAAACCAGAGTGTCACCTCAATAATGCACCTGAACACACCTAATTTACAGACCAGCAGCCAATGGGTTAATAAATATGCGCAAATACACTTGCTATTTAAACAACATAGCCCAGGATGTGAAAAAGATTACTGTGTGAGGCTGAAACCAGCAAAAAGCAATTGGGTTGCTCTTAGCGCTACATTGTGCCAGTTGTATGATAGGACCCTAAGACTTTTATGTCCAAATCTACATTTATATTTTTAAAATAATTTAACGCAATGTTGAATATTATAACAGAGAGAAATGCCCATTACGGCTATGAAGTAGCACAATTTGAGAACCCAATGCATGAATGCAATAAAGCAATGCAATTAAACACTGGCATATTACTCTACTTTTAACCCTAACCCCAAAAATAACAACACACATTTAGTACTAATCCACACAGTGGCAAAAGCTGGACAATTTAAAAAGAAATTGTCCGCGCTGTGTGTGTAGAAACAGCTGATGGTGGACATAGCAACAAACAGCAGAGGATCGTTAGTTCAGAAACGCATTTACATCGGTAAAGGAAGAAGCACGCATCGCGTTTTCAATGTGGTTTTATTCACAATATGTGAATAACCCCATAAAGATTTAACCTGAGAGCGGTTAAACAAGGCAACAATTTTTATTACACTTACATGTTATGATCCGGAGGAAGAAGAAACTGGTTCATATGAACTGCAACAGTTACTGACAAAGTCCCTGTCAAAGTCAGGCATATCCCATACACAATAGTCTCTGCTGCTCCTTCAATAGCAAATGGCTGACGAATCCCGCGTTGCAGTGTAGGTTATTGTATCAACAATCAAATAGAGGACAGGTTGGCTACAGTGGTATTGTTGTGAAAAAAAAACTTTAACCCTTTATTCCCTGCAGCCGAATCTCCATTTGTCAGTGATCATTATCTTTGTGTCATGATCAGTCCCGTGATCCCCCGCGCTCCGCTAGTGTCTAAAGGAAATGGCGCATTCACGTTTTTACCTGAACTGGTACTACATATTTGGTGATGTACTGTGTCAATGCGTTCAAGCAAAAGATCTGGACCCAACACGTTTCATTTATTTGACTCTGACTCGACAATTTCTTCAATGAATCAATATTTTTAAACTTTGAGTACTTTCAGATTTAAACCTCAGCTGGATGTTTCCATTCATTTAGTGCTGTGTTACACTCTGCATGGAAGGTCACTTTCAAAAACCCATAATAGGGGCTCTTAAAAAAATTTCATGCTGTCGTAATGAAGACAAAAAGTTTAATTTAGTTTTGAAAAGTCTTAAAAATAAATACAAAGTGTGATCTTTTACTATTTAAAAATTATAAAACTTAACAAAGATGTAAGAGTAATGCAGTTGCTCAGTTAAAATGGAGATTGATAACAAACCTTTTCAATGAAATTCATGAAAAAAGTCCTTAGCTTGTTCAATGTAGTTTATAGTGCGTTCTTCCTGTTGCATAATGATGTATAATAAAGCACAATTTTTGGGGTGAACTACCCCTTTAAATCGAACCATGTCTTGAAAATAAAAATAACATTTTGAGCAAAATGTAGAATAAAAATTAAATGTAATATGCAAAAGGTCAGTAAGAAATAAAATGTTAATTATTGCTTTTTTTCAAAATCAGCAAAAGCAAAAGTATATTTGCAAGAACTGAATTTTTATGGTCTAACTTTTTTGTCAGTGACCCAGCTTCAACAATTATAAGAGCTTGCAACATGTGTGTCAATACAAAATACTTTCCTTTTGTTTATAGTAAAACTTTTGCATTGCCTTTTAATTATACTTACGCAGATACATATTCATTTTCAAATCCTTTCCATGGAGTCAGTAATCAGTCCTTTCTGTCACTTTACATTCCAGCTTATAAAAGGAGAATGTAACAAATGTTTTCTTTCCACGTCTCGTGTCTCTGAAGCTTTAGTCTCGCACATTTCCTTTTCGAACGGCTGTATCATTTGAGGTGGGCAGTGGCCCATGTTCCCCACGTGTGTTTCTGCTCACTCGTGTTCCTCCTCGCCGCTTCACTCCCCCAGATGTGCATTCCTGCAAGTCTCCCGAAATGTCAGCTCCAGGAGCCCAATGTTCCTACTGTTACACAATCCTTTGATTTAGCGATTTACTGCTCTCTCTAACTCTTCCTCTGGATAATAACAGGAGACTGTTTACTGGACGCCCCTGAGACCACAGTGGCTTTACCCACTGAGCTGCCAGGCCTAACTTACAGTCTGGACCGCCAGTGTCAGCAGATATTTGGAGAGGAGTTTTCACATTGTCCCAACACCTCATCCAGCGAGGTGTGTGAGCGGCTTTGGTGTCAACAGGAGGGCCAGTCTATGTGCACGACTCGAAACGGGAGTTTGCCCTGGGCGGATGGCACGAGCTGCGGCACCAACAGGACCTGCCTGAACAGTGTGTGCATGTCTTCTGAGGATGTCCTGAGGCCGCAGGTAGATCAAAACATCTCTGTGTTACACGTTTTAGACTTGAATTCACTCATTTTATGAGTACAAGATGCTTCAAATAGAAAGGGTCAATGTCTAGAGCATAATTTTGTTTTATTAAATCAATTTTAAAAATGGTTATTTGGGTCTCAAAACAATGCATTTACTTAAAAAATAGATTTTAAATAATGTATGCAGATTTTTTAAAAGGGTGGTCCAGGGTGTATTTTTAAGGTTTGGTTGTTAATAAGATGCAAAGCAATGTGTGCTCATGCTTCACTTGTAGAAAATCACCAATTTTTTTCATTTCTCTTACTTTTATTATATACTGCTACTCAGCTAACATGAAAACGACTGTCGTATTTCCTAGTTCCTCTGAAAACCCGCCCTCAAGAGGCTCTGATTGTTCAGCTAACATAATTGATCGGCTTCACATCACCAGGAAAAGTGTCACGCCCCTACAAGCACACACTTTCGCGCTGTATAAACACTCTTAGTAAGAGTGGCTGTTAGCCGTTTCAGTTTTTGCCTGAATCAGACAGAAAATGACACAGAGGACACAGCTGAACCTCACGCCTAAAAAAACATCTGACAAGTGTCTTTCACATATATTCGGAATAAGCCTGTGTGAGAAATATGAAATGGTCACATATCTTTTGCGAGTTCGTTATTTGAGATATAGAATGCAGGGAAAGTGCCCGCATGGAGAGACAATCCAGCGCTGCTAAAGATTGTGGCTGTTAACAGTGATTTGATGGATAAATATGAAATTGTTAATTGCTAAATTGTTATCGGTGCCAAACAGCATTTCCCATCGTTTACATCCTTGTTTACGTCCTCATTCTCATAACGCTAGAAACTCTGTATGCAATAGATCAATTTTAACAAATAAAATTGCTTAAAGGTTGTGGCTCACAATCCACAGCTTCGTCGTGGTTGGAGGAGTTTTTAGTTGAATCCAGCACTGAACTGGGAGAGATTTTGGAGACTGACCTTTGTCAAATACTAGCTAAATAATTTTTTATAAGTCTCTGGAACATAATTAAAATTAAATTGTAAGCACTTCTCTCGTTGTATCGTGTGCTTTGGATGCTAGGGATGGGAAGATTAACCGATATGTATCGATACGCGGTCATGCGCGTGCACGATGCGAGTGCATCGGTTGAGCAGCAGAGGATGAATGAAATTTTGGAAGCAAATCGAGATGCATCGGTTTCTGCGAGATGCATCGATTTTTCCGAGATACAGCTTATATTTTTAATATAGAATGTATTTTTAATTTATTAACAAGTGTTGTCAACCTGTTTTTGGCGCATAATTTAATCGACCTACATAAAGTAAGCCTTAGCAACGGATTTGCGGATGTGCACACACTACAACTCAGTGTATCAGGTGTGCGGATGAAGCTAGTGGAGCGCCCTCAGAAAGCGCGAGAAGCAAAACAAACATTTTATTCCCCACTGAGTTCTAAATCTAAAGTATGGCAAGCAACATTATGGATTTAAGGATGGACGACATGACAGGACAGATGCAATTTGCAAAATGTGCCGCGCATCTGAAAAATATGCGGGCAGTACGACTAATCTGAAATCTCACTTGAAGCGGCGCCGCGGTGTTGTTGTGAAAGCATCTTCCAGTGTTTCTGCATCCCCGGCTTTCGCACTGCTTCAACCAGCTCCAAAAGTGGTGATAAAAGCATTGCAAGTTTTTTTTCCATGCGCAACAGTTCTGCTCGCTCTACGCCAATAACGAATGCTATTGCATTGTTCATCTGCAAAGATATTCAGCCTAGTTTCACGGAGAACGAAGGTTTTAAACACCTCCTCCTGTTAATTTTTATTTAACTATAATAATAATAATATTAATAATAATAATGATAAAAATAATTCGGTGTCACGGTGGCACAGTGGGTAGTTTGACCACCTCACAGCAAGAAGATTGCTGGTTTGTTATATTTTTATTAGCCTGTTGTTTACAGTGACAGTGATGTTTCAAAGCAGCATAACACTGCTAGTTCACAACCTTAAGTTTTGAATAATCAGTGGCAAAATATATCTTTGTAAAACTTGTTTTCATAGTTGAAAAGTTAAATCACAATTCTTGTTGTGCAATGCTCAATTTATTTATGTTGAAAGAGTGCAAATATATATATATATATATATATATATATATATATATATATATATATATATATATATATATATATATATATATATATTTAATATATATTGCACTTATACATTCTGTTTATCTTGAAAATACTTAAATAATATGTGCTATATGTTCTAAAATGGCCCTCTACTGTAAACTGACACTCTGGCTCTGAGAGAAAAGCCAGTTTGTAAAAAAAAGTCTTGGTTTTGCTTGGTTTATAAATAATCAAACTCATTCAATGGCACAGCTTCTTCTTTCACATCATCTCATAAACTTGATCTAATTAGTTAGTGCTGAAATATCGCATCGTATCGTGATATGGGTGTGAATCGTATCGTGTTGCATCGCAATATGTCACAAATGTATCGCTAATATATCGGATCGTATTCTTTGTATCGAGATGCGTATCGGATCGGCATTATAGCTTAGATGCCCAACCCTATTGGATGCCTTTTAATAACAGTAGCTTCCTCTGCTACATTACAGTAATACAGTGCCTCTGGCCATGCCCCTTCGCTGAGCAAGGTGTGTGTGCATGGTGAAAGCATTTAACCTGAAGCTCTTGTAATCTCACTAACCCGGGTGTATTTTTTTTTTATCTCAAAAACCTCCTTTACTGTAGGCTTTGCTAAGCTTACTCTGGAAAAGCCACTGTCTCCCTTTGCATTGAACTTTGAGCATAGTACATTTAGAGATGTTGTTTATGTTTACACAGCTACAATAAACATCAACTAAAGTTTAAAATATGATATCGTTGTGGACCACCCCTTTAAATCTCTGATCATTTTTACCAGCAAATGTACAGTTTATTTCTCAATTGCTGGAATGGAAAGAGGATTTTTTAAAAATATTTAATTAAATTACATTTTTGAATTAGCTCTAATAACTAACTTCAGTAACAGTAGACCATTAGAATAATGGTCTGTTTGTTAATGTAATATATTTACAAACATTTACTATGTATGAATAATCTTGTAAAAAATTTAATAATTGTTGTTCAACATTTACTAATGCATTATTAAAATCCACAGTTGTGGTTGTTAACAATGCACAGTGATTTAATTATGCTACTATGAACTAACATTTTTCATATTAAATAATGTCAACAAAGGTGAATAATTATCGTAATAAATGTATTACCAATTGGTTATTCACGTTGGTAGATACAATAAATGGCATTAGTTAACGGACAATTATTTTAAAGTGTTATCCTAATTTCTTTTGGCTTTGCCAGTGACAGTGCCTAATATTTTACTAGTTATTTTGCAAGGTATTGGTATTCAGCTTAAAGGGGAAAAAAATAGGAAATACTGTAAAGATTTCCTTTCTCTGTTAATCATAACATGAGTAATGTTTAAAAAATAATATTAGCTAATAATTTGTAATGAATTTTGTTAGCTTGTTTAGTAAACTATTGATGTTTTAATAGGCAATGAAAATCCTTTAAAAATTTTTAAATGAATGTCAGTTTGAACATTTTTCCGCACAAAATACAAAGATGGCATGTTTTCAGACGTCTATATGAATTTTTAGACAGCACAAAACCAATGCATAAATGTAATTAACTTTAGAAGAAAAATCAGTATTTGGTGGAATTACCCTGATTGCCAATCCCAAGAATTAAAACTTTTTTAGGGCTGAACAATATATCATTTGAGTATTGATATCGCAATGTGTGTAGCCACAATAGTCAAATCGCAGGATTGGATTATTCATTAAAGATTAAAAGATAAAGATCTTATTTTTTTTAAAATTATTTATACAAGGATGGGGGCGAGGCAGTGGCGCAGTAGGTAGTGCTGTCACCTCACAGCAAGAAGGTCGCTGGGTCGCTGGTTCGAACCTCGGCTCAGTTGGCGTTTCTGTGTGGAGTTTGCATGTTCTCCCTGCCTTCGCGTGGGTTTGCTCCGGTGCTCCGGTTTCCCCCACAGTCCAAAGACATGCAGTACAGGTGAACTGGGTAGGCTAAATTGTCCGTTGTGTATGAGTGTGTGTGTGAATGTGTGTGGATGTTTCCCAGAGATGGGTTGCGGCTGGAAGGGCATCTGCTGCGTAAAAACTTGCTGGATAAGTTGGCGGTTCATTCCGCTGTGGCGACCCCGGATTAATAAAGGGACTAAGCCGACAAGAAAATGAATGAATGATATACAAGGATGATCATGTTGTTTAACATTTGATTGTTTAATTTCTTTACTTGAATACTGATAGAAAAGCATAAAGCACTGTTTATTTGTTTAAATTTATTTATAATTTATGCAGATGCTCTGCAAATAGAGCTATTCAAATCATCTGGTGAAATTATATTTATATTGCAATGTATATCATGGCAAAAGAAAATATTGCAATGTCAGATTTTTCCAAAATTGTGCAGCACTTGTTTTTTTTTTTTTTTTTTTTGACCGATTGTCATTTTCAACAAATTGAATGAGAAAGCAATATGTTCACATATTCACTTACACTTATACATTGGTGGTCATTTATTTTTTGTTATTCAGTAACGCCACTGAAATCACACACATTGAAAGTGCAGTGAATGAATGTGTTTGTGGTGTGTGTTCAGCCGGCTGTGGATGGAGGCTGGGGTGAGTGGGGATCATGGCAGCCGTGCTCCAGGTCATGCGGAGGTGGAGTGATGTTCTCCTACCGAGAGTGCAACCGACCGTCTCCGCAAAACGGAGGAAAATACTGCGTGGGCCAGAGAGTCAATTACCAGTCCTGCAACAAACAGGCCTGTGAGAATAACCGAGGTGAGTTGATCTCTCTAATCTCTCAGTCCTTCTGCAACTTCATATTGTGCTGTTGGTGACAATTCTTCACAATTGCAGGAAAAAGTTTTCGGGAGGAGCAATGTGAAAAGTACAACAATCCCAATCACTTTGATATTCATGGCAATGTGAAGCAGTGGATTCCGAAATACGCTGGAGTGTCGTTACGGGATAGATGTAAACTCTTTTGCAGAGCACGGGGCAGCAGTGAATTCAGAGTGTTTGCACCGAAGGTACATTGTTCATTGTTTTACACGTGCAAAGATTTACATGCACACATTTGGGAGACACATTTACATTAACTCATTTAGCAGACACCTTTATCTGAAGTAATTTACAAGTGAGGATAAACGAAGCACTTCAAATGCTATGAGAAGTCTACGTTTTTATCTCCAAGCATACAGAGGAGGGAGTGTGTCTTACGGGAGGTTTGTCAAGACCACTCAGATTACTGTAACACTCTATATGCTGGAATTAGTCAGTCTATATATATCATATTAACAACTGGTACAGAATAATGTGGATTAATTAGCTTTACTTCAAATTTTATTTAAAGTTTATTTTAAGGTTTAACTGTTTGTATATAAACACAATATATCGTTTGAGCATCAATATCGCAGTGTGTACATTCGCAATAGTCACATCACAGGATTAGATTACAATGTAGAGGTGTGGAATACTTGGCAAGGGGCTTTGATGGGAAAAGCCTGTGCTAACGGGTGTATTTGTTGTTATTTTTAATTAATATATATTTTTAAATAATTAATAAAAAAAAAACTTTCTGCACTCTTAGAAAAAAGGTACAGGAGCTGTCACTGGGGCAGTACCTTTTCAAAAGGCATGTATTTGTACCTGATGGGTCCATAATGGTACCTCAGAGGTACTTTTTAGTTACATTTGGGCACTAATATGCACCTTTGAGGTTCTACCGTGGACTCTTTGAATATCTTCTAAAAAAGGTACTGCCCCAGTGCGGCCCCTGTACTTTTTTTCTAAGAATATATTTATTACAGATTAAAAGACAAAACGTTGTTAAATATTACTATATTTAAATAGCAATGACCATGTTATTTTATGTTTGATTGTTTAATTGCTGTACCTGAATACTGATATAATACTGTATAGCACTGTTTATTTAACTTTTATCTTTGCTCTGCTGCGTTTCTATATATATATATATATATATATATATATATATATATATATATATATATATATATATATGTGTTATTTATTTTAATTTATACAAACACACTGCATAGAAAAAAGATTTTATCATTTTAATCTATATAAATGAATGAAATGTTTCAAATAAAGCTATTCAATTCATCTGATTCTATTCAATATCATGCAGCCCTAAAATAAAGCTCTTCATGGTCTTGCTCCAACTGACATTGCAAATCTTCTTAAAATCTATTATTCTGGGAGAACACACTGATCCTCATCCCAGAAGTTATTGATTGTCTCAACATCCTGTTTAAAATCTAAAGTGTGCAGTTTTTGTTCCTACTCTATAGAACTCATTGCCTTGTGTCCATTAGAACATTTCCAACCTCATTGTCCTATAAACTGTAACTTAAAAAACAACAACTTGTCTCTCTGGTTTTTGACTATCTTCAAAATACTGGTCCCATTTTATATTAAGTGGCCTTAACTAATATGTACTTACACAGGAATTAATAGTTTGTTACAATGTACTAATTGTGTAAATACATGTATTTACTGTGTACTTATGCTTGATTAAATACATGTATGTAATTACATCTGTATTTAACTTTTGTAATTACATTTGTAAATACACTGTTGACCATCCCCACATCTTAACCCACCCTTAAACATACCCATGCCACCAAACCTGTCCATAACCCAACCTCAATCCCAACTCAAAAGCACCACAAGTGTTCTCAAATACATTATAAACACAGTAAGTACATTGTATTTATTTTTTTGATGTAAGTACATAGTAGTTAAGGACACTTAATATAAAGTGGGACCAAAATACTTTTTTATGTTGCTTTGTTTTACTCTGCATTTGATGCTTTGCATTATTGTTTTATTGTGTCTTTTAATGTTCACTACTTTCTATAGAGTTTTAATGCTTTATACTTTTGTTGTTTGCAGCACCTTGTTCAGCACTTGTTGCTTTTTAGGTGCTATGTAAATTACCTTAACCGTGACCTTGACTCTCCTGTGTGATGCACACTCAGAATCAAACTCAAAATACACTGCTACTGTACATATCTACGCTGTAAGAAATCCTATGATTTGTAATTCATGATACATCTTGTTGCTTTTCTTTTTTTTCACTTTAACACTGTAAGAGTGGGATATCAACTACAACAAGTTTTGGCGAATGACTAAAAAATCTGTATGATGGTGAATACTGTATACATTTCTAGTAAAGCCATCCTTCTGCATACCAAAAATGGAAATAATGGCTGTAATAATAGCCACAAATGTGGGAGAGCATTACTATTATGTTATTGTGTTGTATTGCAACATGGAGCAATTAATTGTTGATGTTAAATTAAAAGTAATTCACAAATACTTGAAAATGAAAGGATTTAATGACAATAATTCTCTATTACAACTGAATTAGTTACAAAATAACTATAAAAGGATAATACATGGAATACTTGTACCCAGCTTAAATGCAAAATAAAGTTACCTGAGAGAGAGGGAGAGACGGGGAGAGAGAGAGACTAAGAGCAGTGAGTAGGCCCCAAAGGGAGCAGTAGAGACAAAGAAGATAGCCTTCCAGAGAAAGAGAGGAGCATAGCAGAGCAGGAAAAGACCAGAGCAAAGTTTACCATTTTTTTTGTATCTTTCTTGATCATGTGACCAAAGCCCAAATACTGAGACATACAAACTGATCAATCAACATGTGACCACATCGTAAAACCCCCAAAGTCCACAGACCAGTCCCTGATCTTGTCAGCATTTACCTTTGGAAAAAAAAGACATGCTTTACCATATAAACAAATCCATATGATAGTTTGCCTTCCTACAACATCATATAGCTTGAATTTGAAATGATCTGTATCGCCAAGTTGATCATACTTTAAAAAGTTGAGAAGAAACTAAACCTAATAAATAAATAAAATACACAAAATAATTTTACCTGTTTTATTTTTAGGTGATTGATGGAACCCCATGTGGTCCTGATACCACATCCTTCTGTGTTCAAGGCCAGTGTATCAAAGCTGGTTGTGACCTGGAGATCGATTCTAGTAAGAAGCTGGACAAATGTGCTGTGTGTGGAGGAAACGGCCAGAGCTGCAGGATAATATCTGGCTCCTTCAATAAAGTCGTGTAAGAATATCTCACTGCTATTTATTATAACTTGCATTCTTTCTTATAAACTTGTGTATTAGTATTTGCTCACATTATCAGTTGCATTTCTTTCTGCAGTACCTCTTCCATTTATTTTCTAGTGTAGTTTCAAGTAATAAGCCATGAAAAAAACAACAGCATGCTACAAGGAGAATCACAACATTGACATAATTGATTCTGAGCAAAAAAAAAAAAAAAAAGAAAAGAAAAAAAAAGAAATACAATCCCTTGACTCGTTGCAAATAACATATTTTCAAATGAAATGGGTCAAATTATGCACATTAAAATAAGTAAAGTGTAAGTCTCAGGTGTCCCCACAACTTTCAGCTCAAAATCCTGTGATTGTTTAAAAGAGTATATCAGGCTGCAAATACCCATCTTTTAATCAGAAGAAAAACACAGTGTACACTTTCTGAATAAAGACTGTGCCTTTGTTCCTCAGTTACTCCGCCAAATATAAACAAAAAATCAGTATATGTTTTAACATAAGTTTAAAATCCTGATATAAGATTTACTGCGAACCCAGACACAAAGCACAAAGCCAATGTCGGAAAGATGTCAGGCAGATAATGCTACAAATTTAAACTAGCTAAAGATAACCGTCTACTGATGTTAGACTTTGATAGTGTATGGACGTCACATTATGACGTTTAGATGACGCTGGATATTGGTTGGTTAATTCCAAAACCTAAAACCAACCAAAGATCGTCTACTGATGTTAGATTTGACATTGTATGGATGTCACATTATGATGTTAAGATGATGCTGGATATTGGTTGGTTAATTCTACAACCTAAAACCAACCAAAGATCAATGTCTACTGATGTTAGACTTTGACATTGTATGGACGTCACATTTTGACGTAAAGAGAACACTGGATATTGGTTGGTTAATTCCACAACCTAAAATCAACCAAAAATCAACGTCTACTAATGGACGTCACATTATGACATCATTTGACGTTAAACTGACATTGGATTTTGCTCTCCTGACATTGCAATCAAAACATAACCAAATACCTATATCATATGAAGTTGTGTGCCTACTGGGAGTACATTCAATCTACCCAGGCATGCCTTGGGTGGGTATTATTAAAATTTGGCAAACTTTGCAGACAAATTAAAAAATAATTGGCCATATGTCACTCAAAACTGTCTGGTCATTATGACAGTGTGAACAACGCAAACAGCATGAAGTCTGATCTTCAATACTGATTTGTACCAATTTCATTTGTGGTATTAAATCAGTATCAGATCTCAAGTTTTGTAATGTAACTTCAATGTGAACGGTTATGTCAAAATTCATGTAAGTTTTACATCATTTCTAATGGCACGTCATCATTCTTCACTGGCACATACTACAAACATTCTCTTATGCTGCTCATTAACCCTTTATGAGTGCACTAGTAGTCATTCTTTGTTGTTCTCTAGCACACAATCACAGGCATACCATGATCAGCTGCTAAATTCAAATCCATTTGCCTTCCTTTGTGGGCAAAGACGCATGTCATGCTTGTCATAGATTACAACTTATAGATTGCAACTTATTTTATGTTTCAGACAACCATTAACTAAACAACCATTTATAGTTCTTGAAATAGATGTTGTTGGTTGCAAAAATGGCTGTAATAAATATATTAACCTAATTTAAAGACATGCTTTATTCACCTAATACAGTTTGCACATTGTGTACATATTTAGAAAGTTATTGCTCTATAGATGTTCTTTTGTGCATGTGGGACAATTTGCAGTCATGATAAGTTCACACTGGGAAACCTGGTTTATATACAGTTGAAGTCAGAAGTATTAGCACCCCTGAATTATTAGTCCCCTGTTTATTTTTTCCCCCCAATTTCTATTTAACAGAGAGCAGATTTTGTTCAACACATTTCTAATCATGATAGTTTTAATAACTCATTTCTAATAACTGATTTATTTAATCTTTGCCATTAAGGACAGTACATAATATTTGACTAGATGTCTTTCAAGACACTTTTATACAGCTTAATGTGACATTTATAGGCTTAACTATGTTAATTAGGTTAACTAGGCAGGTTAGGGGAATTAGGCAAGTTTTTGTATTATGATGGTTTGTTCTGTAGAGTATAGGAAAAATATAGCTTAAAGGGGCTAATAATTTTGACCTTAAAATGTTTTTTTTTTTTTTTATGAAAAACTGCTATTTTATTTTAGCCAAAATAAAAAAATTACTTTCTCTAGAAGAAACAATATTATCAGACATACTGTGAAAATGTCCTTGCTCTGTTAAACAAGAAAAAAAAAAAAAAATAATTAAAGCGGAGCTAATAATTCTGACTTTAACTATATAAGAATTTGTATATATATGAACATGTACATAATTTCATAGTATATAAAATCCATGAGAAAATATGCATATGTAAATGGACTTTTTTCAAGATTTTGTAATATGTTGCATATATGAAATACAATTTTGAATTTATATTCCATATGTGTAATTTGCATATATTTTCATATGTCAGCACTTTCGGACATACAGTGCATCCGAAAGCTCTTCATAGCGCTTCACTTTTTCCACACTTTTTTTTTTTTTATGTTACAGCCTTATTCCAAAATGGATTAAATTCCTTTTATTTCCTCAACATTTTAAACTCAATACCCCATAATGATAATGTATAAAAAGATTTTTTGAAATTGTTGCAAGTTTATAAATAATTAAAAACCTGAAAAATCACATGCACTCAAGTATACACAGCCTTTGCTCAATACTTTGTTGATGCACCTTTGGCAGCAATTACAGCCTCAAGTCTTTTTGAATATGATGCCACAAGCTTGGCACACCTGTCTTTGGGAATTTTTGCCCATTCCACTTTGCAGCACCTCTGAAGCTATATCAGGTTGGATGGGAAGTGACGGTGTACAGCCATATGCAGATCTCTCCAGAGATGTTCAATAGAATTCAGGTCTGGGCTCTGACTGGGACACTCAAAGACATTCACCAAGTTGTTGTGAAGCCACTCCATTGATATTTTGGCTGTGTGCTTTGGGTCATTGTCCTGCTGGAAGATAAACAGTTGCCCCAGTCTGAGGTCAAGAGCACTCTGAAGCAGGTTTTCATTTAAGATGTCTCTGTACATTGCTGCATTCATCTTTCCCTCTATCCTGAGTAGAAATACATCCCCACAGCATGATGCTGCCACCACCACTCCACTGTAGGGAATGTATTAGCCTGATGATGAGCGGTGCCTGGTTTTCTTCAAACGTAACGCCTGGCATTCACTCCAGAGTTCAATTTTAGTCTCATCAGAGCAAAGAATTTTGTTTCTCATGGTCTGAGAATCCATCAGATGCCTTTTGTTAAATTCCAGGTCAGCTGCTATGTGCCCTTTTACAAAGAAGTGGCTTCTGTCTGTCCACTCTACTACCATAAAGGCCTGATTGGTGGATTGCCGCACAGATGGTTGTCCTTCTTTAAGGTTCTCCTCTCTCCACAGAAGAATGACCTCCCCGATCATTGATCTTAGATGGCCGGCTAGCTCTAGTTCTGGTGGTTCCAAACATCTTCCACTTACAGATGATGAAGACCACTGTGTTTATAGGAACTTTCAGAGTAGCAGACATTTTTCTGTAACCTTCTCCAGCCTTGTGCTTCGACAATCCTATCTTAGAGGTCTGCAGGCAATTCCCTTGGGCTTATGCTTGGTTATTGCTTTGACATGCACTGTCAACCCTAGGACTTTATATAGATAGATGTATGCCTTTTCAAGTCATGTCCAATCAACTGAATGTACCACAGGTGAACTCCAATTAAGCTGCTGAAACATTTTAAGAATGAACAGAATGTACCTGAGCTCAGTTTAGAGCTTCACGGCAAAGGCTGTGAATACTTCTGTACATGTGATTTTTCAAGTTTTTTTATTTTTAATAAATTTGCAACAATTTCAAAAACATTTTTTTTTCACATTGCCATTTTGGGGTATTGTGTGTAGAATTTTGAGGAAATAAATTAATTTTATCCATTTTGGAATAAGCCTGTAACATTAAAAATGTGGAAAAGGTGAAGCACTATGAAAACTTTCCGGATGCACTATGAAGACTTTCTTCATATTCAGACATTTTTTGCTCTTGAAATCCGGACAGACACTATTTATGTACTGTGCTCTATTTCCTATTTGTTTAGCCATGGATATAGGGACATTGTGACGATTCCTAGTGGAGCCACTAACATTAACATCAAACAGCAGAGTCATGGAAGTATACCACACGATGGCCATTACCTGGCTGTACGAAGAGAAAATGGCAATTACATCTTGAATGGGAACTTCTCTGTATCCACTGTGGAGCAGCATATTCCAGTGCTGGGCGCTGTGCTGAAGTACAGTGGCTCTTCAACAACACTTGAGAGACTTCAGAGCTTCCGGCAACTTCAGGAACCCATCACAATACAACTGCTCTCCACCGCTGCCGAATCCATTCCACCGAAGGTCAAATACACCTTCTACATACCTAAAAGCATGGCGTTCAGTAAACCGAAAGACAAAAAGATTGCTGGCAAGTTGATTCATCCCTTTGGGGTGCCACAGTGGATCTCAAGCGAGTGGTCCGAATGCTCCAAAACATGTGGTTCTGGGTGGTCCAGGAGAAATGTGGAATGTAAAGACAATGCTGGCTTCTATTCAAACCACTGCAATAAAGATCTCAGACCGTCTGATATCAGGCCTTGCGCAGATCTGCCGTGTCCCATTTGGCAGATAGGACCTTGGTCTTCATGCTCTCAAACTTGTGGCCACGGGGAACGACAGCGCAAGATTCTCTGCATCGATTACACTGGGAAGACTGTGGAGCCAGAGAACTGTGACCCTGCCAAGATGCCTGAATCTGTATCTGAAAAGTGTTTCTACCAAGAGTGCTGAGGACTTCATCTGCAGTAAATGATTCGGTTGTTAAGACGTTCCTGTGAAACGATGGATTATCATTTGACCGTGCTTCAGGTTGGAGCAGGGAATTTTCAGCTTTAGACAGAAAACGGTTGAGCTGTGTGGAGTGAATGTTGCACGGATTGATTAAGTTGGGCTTTGGTTTTATCAGATTTATATATTTATAACCACTATGGATGCAATAGATATCTACCTCATCAATGCTTTATTGCAGTTTCCCTAACTTCTAACTCCTGGATCATGTTCACACTTGGTTTTAAGATGATCACCCAAACACAAGTGGATGATGCTAAATGCAGATGCAAATGGGGACTGAAGCGTTTTGTGCTTGTTTGTGCAAGTTGAAAACACATCATATCAGATTGCTTTCACAGTTTATATGCTCATGTGGTGGAATGCATTTCAACATAAAACTACCTATTCCATCTACTGATGTGATTCCAAAACATTATGGGATGTGTTTTCAAGATGACCCAACCAGACTAAAGGTTACTGTCGCACGAGAATTTATTTTAAGAAACCAGTCTTGATTCTAACACAAAACCCAAAGTGTTGCACAAAGATTTATTATTATCAGAGTAGAAACCAACATTTTCTAATTTCCTGTACAAATCCCACCATGCAATTTTATGTTTCAAATACATCTAACATCCGAAGATAGATGTTTTGGCTAAAAACAAGACTAAAATGTAATGGATGTCTAAAAATAGTCCAAAAATAGACAAATACACAGATTTGACATGTGTAGTCATTCATTCATGTCTATTTAAAGACTTTTTGAAAACTTAGACATCTATCAGATTTTCACTGTTTTGCCAAGAACTCTTTGTTTGGATGTTTACTGTAGGTGAAGTTTTACAAACTAATTTCTAGAGGAGCATGATTATAGTGATATGATTGATCTTGGCTGGTCTCTCATCTGCAATCATTAATAAGCCAATTAGATTATTCAAACTTACAATAAATAGCCCATCTTACCTCACTCCTTTATCTTCGTTTTTGAAGAATCCCCCATCCTCCAATCTCCCCCCATTTTCCTCTTTAACCAGGAAAAGTGTTTGAGTACTACCTGTTCTCGGATTTGACCAGGCGGGAACCCTGGGCCCCATTTCAGAAAGAAGGTTAAGTGAAAACTCAGAGTATACTAATTATGAAATTAAAGAAATTCTGGGTTTCCTGTTTCAAAATGGCAGATTTGTCAAATTCGAGAATGCAGGGTGAATCAAGTCTGTTTCTGAAAGAGAGGTAATGTTTACTCACTTTTACCGTGGTAACTTACTTTGTGAACCTAACCTGGTCAGGAGCAGGTTTTATTCTCTAATCTCTGAGTTTCTGTTGGTCTCCACCCTTTTTTTTTAAAGGTGAAGCGGTATTTCTCGCTTTAGCTTTATGTTACCATCCACCTATTTTAAAGCGTGTTTTGCTTACATAAGCTACACAAAGGACAAAATTATGTGAATGGCTTGTCCTTTTTTGAGAAAAATTAGAACAATTACAATTAGATTCAATACCATAGTTTTAATTTTACCTTTGAAATTACTGCAAAAAAATAAATAATTATCTTAAATTCACTGACCTTCGACAGGGACTTGTACACTAACTAGATTAATGGGATTATCACTCATTCTAAAAACTATTTTTTAGTACTGCTTACATTCTTAATTGTCCGATTAATCTCTACCACTTGATAAATAATAAAGGCAGACACACAAGTGCACTTTTAAATCTATTAAAAACTCAAGTTTAGAAATGTTATCTAAAACTGATTAACGTATGTAAAAGTGGAAACCATAAATTAACATTTCCACTGAACATTAAGCTAAGGTTATATGCATTCTTAGTTTGTCAAATTTGTTGTAGAAACTATGCAGTAGCCTATTTTATGTAATTTAATGCAATTACATCTAAAATATCTTCAAAATTACGACCAATTCCACAATTTTTCAAGTAAAAAGTCTATAAATGTTACATATATTACTTATTTTTTATCATACTTAAATATTTAATATGTTAACGAATTTAAATGTAAACTTGCACATTAACTTGAGCAGCTAAGTTTTCCCACGCTAACTGTCTCTGTTTCGCCAAAGCAGTGGTGTTGCTTCTTTAAAAATATATTGTCATATTTGCTATAACTTTGCATGAGCAAGTTCAGCTGGACAAAAAAAATCTCTTTTTTTCAGATGTTGCCATGGTGACTCGTAATATCTGCGCTCCTTTGATAATGCCTTTTTATAGTCGCGGTATGCGCGCTTAACTCTAAATTAAGCTGCGGTCACACTTGACTTCTGTCCCTATAGACTTCCATTTAACTGCACGAAAATGCGTCAGACCAGAAACGCAGGGTCATGTGTTAAGTTTTCGCAGTTCGCTGCGGTGCAAAGTTCAAGCTTGGTGAACTCTGACCTGCGAAATCGCATCACTTGACTGCGTGAGACCAATCAAGGATCAACCCACAACCTCTCTGGGCAGAAACTTAAAACATGGAGCAATCGCTCGTTTTTTTTTTTTAAAATGTCCACAGCTTTAGTCTACTCGATTAACCTAACTTAGATCAGCTGTTCTGAAACCAAAAACTTAAAGTTTTTAATCTCTTGGTAAGACAACTCAGAGTTCAAGTTTTAACTCAAGTTTGAACATTCTTACTGAAACAGCCCCATGGGCTCTATTATCTCCGAGCTCAGGGTTCTCTCCCTCTCCCTAGGTGTAAACTCTTGAAACATCTTTTAAACAAACATTTAAAAGCTTATTTTTGTAACATTAAATTAGTAGGTCAGGAAAACTTCATATAATTGACTAGTCCATAGACCCTTACCTCAAAGAAATCAGAAAAGTGGTTGAAAGTGAACAGAAGAGATGGATTTAACAAAAGTGTAAACATTTATGTGTCTTTTGATGTATTGTCATTGACTTTTGATCCGGTCAACCACAACAGATGTTCGCTGTAAACAGGGCCCCAGTCATATTTTGGAGCATTCCACAGTAATTATGGTATGATTTTAAATAAATATGTTGTAATTTTAAACGATATAATCCAAAACAGACCAGCGAGGATTTTCACATTTCTTTTCATCTTATGCTGGCATTTTTGAAAGTGAAAAGAAAGGAAATAAAATCATTTTGTATTTGTACATTCAGTTGTACACATTGGAATTACAAAATGGAGAAAATGTACATAGAACTGACGCTTTGCTAAAACCACTATTAAGGTGCTATTATTTTTGATTGGGTCATTTATTTTATTTATAAACCTTGACTTGCGTTTATTCAAGGCTTTCAGAGTTCAAGCCATCAAGAACAATTGATTATTAAAGCATCATCTTATATATCTATTAAATTTACTCTTGAACGTTCTCAGAGGTAAAAAGTTGTTGAGCCTTATTTATATTTTGAAACATCATTAATCAATCATTTGAAAATTCCTTAACAAGCATAATTTTTGTGTGTTGTTGAGTGGGTTTTATAGCTTACCGCTTCCAATAGTTGTTCTTTGTAATAAACACTGTTATTTTAAAAGTGCACATAGCAAATTGTTGTGAAATTCTGCATGAATGAAAACACGGAGGTTTGGAAACATCAACCATTGATATCCTTCAAGAGTGGTTGTGTCTACTGAGGTTTAGAAATAGACGTAAACATGACGTAAAACAGTACAGCATGAAACTAAGCTGAAAATATGTAATTCTTCTTTACAGTGATTGTATATGAATGCTAATATTGTATTGATCATTCCTGTTGTGTACATTTTATATATTAGTCGTATTAAATTGCAGCAAAACATTTGATCCCTTCAGTGAAGGATTGTACTTTGTTACGTCTTCATTGTAAAACTATTTATTTTTGTAAATGTCCATTGTATAATATGTAATGTTCTTTTTCTAGATGCTGCGTTCCTTGTTTTGTAACTTATCAATGAAATGTCTGAAATAAATGAGAAAAAACATAACAAACTTGCCATTTTGGGTGAATGCATTTAATTAAAGGAAAACATGAAATGTTTGAAGGTCTGCAACCTGGACCAGAACCTGCATAATCAGACAGGAAGGCTTAGATTTCCTTCATTTTAGTACAAAGCACGGATCTACATGCAAATATGTGGTTACTAAAGTTCATCTGGATGTAAAATATGATAGCAGGAATTCTGGCCGGCTGTAGTGTTGTTGACCTCGGTAAGGTTTAGCTGGAGGTGGTGTTTCTTCATCCAGTCCAAAATGTCAGAAAGATTTGCTGAGATATATGCAGAGATCGTGCGGCTGTTGAACTGGAAGGACTGTTTGTCATCGTCAGTGACAGGAGAAGTCGCGAGAGTGTGTTTGCACTTGATTTGGTTAAAAATCTTTGGGGCGATTGCTCTGTTAGTGGGGTTTACTTGAAGAGCAAAAAACAAGCAGACAAAAATGCTTAAAAAATAAGTCTCTGTCCTCTTAAAAACAAAATCTGGTGGGGTTCAGCTGAAATATGAACACAATACAGAACAAAGACGTAAAAATAAACCAAAAACAGCACATGGAACCACAAGATGTGACCAAAATAAGAACAGAATGCTCAGTCATGCTTTTTTTATCTTTGTTAGGATGTTGCCCATTACAGTTCAGTACATACTAGGGCTGCATGGGCAAAATTGCTAAAAAAAAAAATGACAATATAATTTTTTTATATCATTCGATATCGATGATTATTGATTTTTTTTTACAATTATAGTAGGAACCATTCATTTATTCATTCATTTTCTTTTCAGCGTAGTTCCTTTATTAATCTGGGGTCGCCACACTCATTTTCGAGTGTGTTGTTATTCTGACCTGAAGTGACAAGCGCTTTGGTTTCCTTGACCCTTTAAATGTGTTTTGCGCTTGTGCTTTCCTGCTGTCTTTCTGTAACTAGGTGACCATCAACTGTTTCCTTAGAGCAGGGGTGTCCAAACTCAGTTCTGGAGGGCCGGTGTTCTGCATATTTTAGTTTCAATCCCATTTAAAAACACCTGCACCAGCTAATCCAGGGCTGTTTCTCATTGGCAGGTAAGGAAAGTTTGGACTTGCGCCCTTGGAATCTCAGACTTGCCAAGTTCAGACTTGGAAGAGCAAACTCCCGAGGACTTCTTCAAATGGAATGGCAGTGTACTTTATGACGTCACTAACCTCACCATGGATTCATCAGTTTCACTGTACATTAAAAATAATATTATTTAATTATATAAAGCATGGCCTTATAATTAATATTATGTTATTATTAGAAATAGGCGACACAGTGGCGCAGTAGGTAGTGCTGTCGCCTCACAGCCAGAAGATCGCTGGGTTGCTGGTTCGAGCCTTGGCGTTTCTGTGTGGAGTTTGCATGTTCTCCCTGCGTTCGCATGGGTTTCCTCCGGGTGCTCCGGTTTCCCCCACAGTCCAAAGACATGCGGTACAGGTAAATTGGGTTGGCTAAATTGTCCATAGTGTGTGTGGATGTTTCCCAGAGATGGGTTGCGGCAGGAAGGGCATCCGCTGCATAAAAACTTGCTTGATAAGTTGAGGGTTCATTAAGCTGTGGCGACCCCGGATTAATTGAGGGACTAAGCAGAAAAAAAATGAATGAATGAATATTATAAATATACATTTTTGATTAAAGAAAATGTACACATAAATTCATATAAATGTGAAGTAAAATGAGTTATTATACACAGACACGCGTCTTTGATTATCAGATTTAATAAACTACAATGGAAATTATACAAGTACATACACAATAAAAAATAAAGACATACACAATAAGAAATAAAGATTAAGTCAAACAATTCGGTGAACAAAGACAAACTTCGTACAACATGATGAAAGACAATTATAAAAGGTAACAAAATAATACTGCCAAAATAATACACCTGAGATCCAGTGATGAGTGATGAGATCCAGCAGTACATCCGAGATGGACTGACCAAAGTAAAGCTGCTCTCGGCGGGTTAGGTTATGACGGAGCTCCCGCTAACAGGCTGGGAGTCGGAGTCCGCATAAGCTGAGGCACACTGAAGTCAAAGACGCGCTATCTTTGTGAATAAACTGCTGATTCGAGTTTAAAACAACTACATTCTCGCCTGAAAAATTGTTAAAACTTTATTTGTGACACAGTAAAGGAGTATTTTTAAAACCTTGCGTGTTTTCTCCTCCACCATCAGAGTTTGCTGGTTTAGCTGCAATGCATTCTAGGATACCTGAGCTTCGCAAGTTCGTACAAGTCATCTCATGATGCATCCTTGGCCAAAGGGGCAGAGCAAGTACACATCTGGGAGTTTTATCTGTACTTGGCAAGATGTGAACTTTGAATTGGAACAGTACTTTGGCGACGATTGATGACGTTTCACAAGGACACAAGAACGCAAGTACAGACTAGATGGCATATTGAGAAACAGCCAAGCTCTTTCTTGGTATACTAGGAACTTCCAGGAAGGTGTGTTGAAGGAAGTTGGAGCTAAAATGTGCAGGACACCAGCACTCCAGAACCGAGTTTGGACACCCCTGCCTTAGAGGGTGACAAATGGGCAAACCATTGCTGCAGCTCAGATACAAGTGTATGGAGAAAAGTAAAAAAACATTACAGTGTTTGGATGTGCTGTGTTTGTCTGAGGTAATTGGTCTGCAGTTATTACTGAAATGTGCATATTCCTATAAAACAATTTTAGGAATTATACTCAATTTGTATTTATTTGTTAACATAAACAAGTAGTGACAGATACATCATAAGAAATTCACCAAGACTTACAAATAAACACTGTTTTATTGTTGTCATAAAATGGATCAAATTATAGAAATATTACATAGTAAAAACGACAAATACTGTTAATTATAAACTGCTAATAAAACATGTTGTCTGGTTTCTAAATGTTTTAATTTAGAAGGTTTCATGCTCTCTTATGAGAGCACCTCACTACATATGACACTAAGGCTTTAAGTCTTTTTTGTCGTCAATATATATATCCATTCTTTACATATTTGGGTTTGTAATAATTAAATGAAATTTCAAATGTCAAACAGTAGGGTTGTTGTGCACGCATTTCAAAATAAAAGTCTGGTAAAAGCAAAATAAGTAAAAAAATTTACTT